GAACAAAGACAAGAAGAAAGTGAAGTACATCTTATTTTTTTATTGGCCTCTGTGTGATGACTTTGTATAAAGTGATTATACCAGATGGATTTTACCTTTTTTGTCCCACTTGAACCACATATATTAATATATTTATTGTATTTTATGTAGTAGACTAACACCAAATGAAGTAAATTTTTAGCCGGAAGAAAGGAGATCTATAGTTTTAAATTATTTTTATGATAAAATGCTGAAAACACCCCCAACATGGACTGTTGTCCCTGCTGCCCTCTGGGAAGAGGCTTCGACTTCGAAGCATCCGATGCAGGTTCCAGCAGATTCCAGCACAGCTTCCTCCCCACTGCCATTAGACTGAATGTTGAATAAAATGAGGAAAAAAAGCTGAATGTTGGAAAACTATAAATCATATCTCAGTCTTATATTTACATTTGATCACCATGTTTAGATTTAATAACAAATGCACTTTAATAAATTGAAATTTCTTGAGAGCTGTATGAAATTTAGTTTTGTATACACCCTGTGTGTACAGAATGACAATAAAGTTTATCAAAAGTTCAAGTCTAAGTAAAGTGTGATGTGCATTTTGTATTCATGCCAAATGAGTTAACTGGAAGTCTTTTGAGTTTTATATTTCTTCTAGATTTACATGTATGGTAAATTAAATGTTTGCTCCATTTCTATGGTAAAAAGCTTAAACTCAACCCCAAATTGGATTGAAGGGTTCTGAATTGCTTTTTCAATTATTGCCACATATACTCAACAGGATTTTTGGCAGATGAATGTGCCTTGATCTCAAACATTGCATTAAACCTCTTGGTTTGGCAACTGCTAACGGTTCTTTTACATTTTGTTATTTGCTGATAAAGACTTTCCTTGTGCGGTTTTTCATTTTGAGTGGAAAGTCATATCTTTGTAGTTTAATTATTCTCTTTTAGCAAGACAATGGGCTTTAACTTATTTTTTATTCCTTTTATCTTTTACCCAATTTTATTGATTTGATTGTGTGGATGTTATTTTTAACTTTTTTTTACTGATTTTTTTTTTTTAAATCTGTACAGTTTTGTGTTTTATTTATTCATCTTTCTGTACAGAACTTTGGTCAGCTAAGGTTGTTTTAAGTGCTTAACAAATAAAATTGGATTGGATTCCTGTTTTTAGAAAACATGTTAAATGATTTTTTGTAAAGTGCTAAAGGTTGGGATATTGCTAAGTATATAACCCAGCCTGATTTAAACTTATATATTACCTGTCTGCTGTGTCTCTTGCTCATCATGAAGCAGTTTACTCACTAATATTCTCTTACAAACCTCTGAATCATTTGAGGAAATTGCTGCACTGGATTTTCCCATGGGTTATCAGAGTAAAGGATTAACAGAAATGCCCTTTTTTTTACTGGTACCAACCCATCAAATAACATTCCAATAAAAGACACTGCAGTTGTGATTTTTGTCTGATGTTGGAATGAAACTATACATTTTCATGTAAGGCAATGTGTGCATACATGAAATGTTTAATTGGATTATCTTAGAATATAGAACAAGTAGATTCATTTGAATAAACTTTGGGATGGATTAGATTCTATGTGGAACGTTTTTTAATGTGTCTGGGGCTCTTGTTAAAAACTGGTGTTAGATAAATTAAGATAAATTTGAATGAATGTAAATAAATTGTTATGAATAATAAAATTTTGCTTTCCTATTAGTCCTCATAAAACAGTAGATGTGACCATTGCTCTAAACATGCTCAAGTATTAAGAAGGTCAACCCCAAAATGTTTTATAATATTAATAGTAGCACCACTGAAAAACATAAAAAACTTTTTGTGAATCACTGTGCAAGGCAAATGGCATGCTTGACCAATACTTGCAATGTTTAAATCTTCAGACCTGGAACAAATTAAAGCCTTGATTAGAATAATGACACAAACACCACAGAAACACAACTATGAAACCCCAAATAGAAAGACTGGGTTGGTTTAACATCTTAAAGTGCACGTTTGGGGCTTTAAAACAGTAAATGACTGCAATAATTATTACCTGGTGGTATCTGATGCACAGTGAAATGTAGAAGCTAAGGCAGACTAAGGATCTGAACCTTAAATAAGGTGCCTTTCCAACATACTTTTAAATAGTTTGTGATCTGATGGAGGAAGGTTTTATCTGTAGTTGGCGCACAGATGGGTCATCAGTTTGCATTTAGCAGCAGTACAAAGTGTTTTTAGATAGTCTGCTAAGTCAGAAATAGGTTTTGATAAAAACATGTCCAGATTTTAATGTGAAAACTGTGGGAAACCTGGTCTAGACATTTTTTTTATTTTTTTACATTGTTTATTAATGTTAATAAATCAATTCCTCTGAATGGTGACAAACTTGAACACCTTAAATGTCTCTGACCCAGAAGCATCACAGGGACTTTTACATTTGACTTCCTTTTCGTGTGTCACTTGTTGACATTTAGCTGCCCAGCAACAAGCAAGTGAACATTTTTGCCTGGAAGGCGCAGATGTTTGATATAGATAACGATGGTGAATCATAGGTGAATAAAAATAGGTGAATCTTCCACATCACAAACTGTTTCCAGATTGTTTGTTTTTATAGAATAAACTGCAAGAACAATACAGTACCGCTGAATATTTTGGATCCTTAAGTCTACTTTTAATTTGTAAGAGCAGGTAAACCATCACATTTATTTAAGAATTTGCTATCAGAAAAATTGAAATAACCATATGGTCTCCTTTAATCTGCTTCAGAATAGTTTGCATCTTTCAGGACAAAAAATAGGTATCTGGGTAGAAGTGGTACATGTAATAGAATGCAGTGTCTGTGCCTTAAGAGCTGTTGTAACTGCAGCTGTGTTTAAAAAAATAACCTTTCCACGATATATCCAGTAGCAAACAGATATCTATGTCTTCAGTTTGACTGCACAACACCAAATTAAATTTCTAATGAAGAAGCTACAACAAAAATGTTTAAAGTTCAAGAAGAAATCTGTATTTCTTTTATTTTAAACTAGACAGTCAGCAACAAAGACTTTCATAAAAATCTTTGTTTTGAAGCTGGTGGCATAATTTGTTTTTTACAGAAATATTGAACTGCTAATACATGACTGTGAGGAACACGTGATCCCATATCCTTAAATTTAGTGTTTGTAATGTTAAAGATAATAAGATGTAACATGTGATTTATTGAGATTTGATTTGATAAAATAGCAGATATTTATAAACTTCAAAGCAAGGGATCAATATTTTTTTCCACAAATAAAAATCTATAAAAGAGCAGCTTTGATAATGCTACCTACAAATAGCCTTTGCTATAGCTACAGCTGCAGGTGTTTTGGGTTACCAACTTTGAATGGCCAGAAACACGTATTTACACCTATTTTGCTGTTCAGCAGCTAAAGCTCCATCAAACTGGAATGACTTTGTTTTATTAAATGTCCTTTTTCAAGTCTTACTCCATATTCTCAGTTGAATTCAGGTTTAAATTTTGAGGTCATTCTAACACACACATTAATTATTTCATCTTAATTGTTCTATAGTTTGGGATGACTGTTGAAAGTTAAGTTTCCTTATGTTTTACATTTGAAATGTTTTACATTTGAAACTGATTTTCTTCATCTGTATTTGACGGCAAATAACAGATGGGTTCAACATGCATAAGAAGTCTAAAGATGTTGATTAAAACAGATTTCATTTGGTGGTATTAGATTAAAAGAGACTAAATGCAAATGAAGATCACACTTTTCAAATGTTGTTTGCAAATATTTAAGAAAAAAATGAATCATGTTAATCTTATTTAAACAATTATGTGCCACTTTTTGCTGGTGTATTTGATACATGTAAATAAGAAGGTAAGTAGGTAAAAAGTATAGTTAGCCAGTACATTTTAGGTAAACACTGACTCACTTGATAGATTAATCCATGCATTCCAAAATTATTCACACTCCTAGTAGATTTAGAATTAAAGTTGTCTTTTCCTGTTATCAAGATGTTTATTTTGACTCTAAATACTGTTTACATTTAGCACTAGCCTTGCCAGAGTTCCAACTTAAACTTATTTTAGGAAGCCAAAGATTAGGGAGATCTCAAAGATGTGGAACTCATGTTTGACCCTAAAATTAATAGAACTATACAGACAGATGGTCAGCAATTATAGGAGGGCTTTATGGCAGTATCCAAATAAAACATGCTCCACTTATTATTTGAAAGTCCCAGTCTGTCTCATTTCCTATTGGAATTTCAGAAAAAAACTTCTACACTGAAAAAATAATGCTGCCGTTTTTGGGATTTACTTAATCATATTTAGTTACTTTAACATGATTGTTTCATATGTTAGCAGGGTAGGACATAAAACAATTGTGTTAAAGAAACTAAATATGATAAATGCCAAATGGTTGCTCCATATTTTTCAGTGTAGATGGCATGGAAATAAATATAAACCTTAATCTAACAGGCTTATTTGATAAAACTCTGGGATTAATTATATATTTGGATCAGCTGTAAGTTTATTTTATTTTAAGGGGTTGGGAAACACAGCATCCCTAAAATAGTCAAGTTCACCACAATTTGGTGTTCTTTGTGTTGAGCTTAGTCATTTATGTTTGCTTTTAGGGATGGAACTAAATCATTTATATTATCTTCTGAGTGCTTTACTCAACAGCAATCTATTATAATAAACATTTGAAAATAACATGTATATCAGAGAGATTTCCTCAAATTGGTTCAAAAATAGAAGAACAGAATTTTCATCCATCTTTGCATCATGTTAAATTCGTTTAATGAGGTGTGTCAAACAAGCAAACAGTAAATCCAGACTAGCGAACCAAATTGAAAGCAGTTGAGAGATCCGAGTCATTTCACTGAGCTCAGCAATATATTGCGGATCCCAGGAAAAATCTGGAATTCACATCTGACGTTGCAAACCAGCAGCACGCCACCGCCCCCTAGCGGCTACGAGGAGCGACCCTTCCGCGCCCCCCCCCCCCCCCCCCCCCCCCCCCCCCCCACGGCAGACCGATGGGATACTGCTGGAGGGATTTTCAAGGCGGGCTCTTTGTGAAAACCCAGGTGTTAGGACAGCTTCCACGGCGGCTAAGTTCTTATCGCCACAGCATTAAAACACATCAGCACTACCGAGCCATTTTGGACAGGCGGTGCAGCTCGATCGGCTCTTTCTTTCTCTGACGGAAGTTTTATGTTGAATGGAAGCGGCTCTCCGCAAGTTCACAATGAAGACTCGCGTTTTTCTCCTAATGCTTGCGGTTTTCTCCCAAGGACTCGCACAGGTTGAGGAAAACGAAGCAGACGAGCTGCAGGTCGAGACATTGGTGAGTAGGATAAGAGTATAACCTTGTAATAACGCTAAATTCAACATTTAACCAAAGCGCTTCTTCTTTCTGTAGGTGAAGCCAGAAACTTGCTCCGTTCTCTCAACAATGGGAGACACGCTGCAAATCCACTACACTGTAAGTCAACGAGACCCGCTGATCTACTTTATTTGTATAAAACAGTGGGGCGTCTGTGTCTTTTGATGGTAGGTATTATAAATATATATAAAAATAAAGCTGAGAGACGCTCCCAGCTGGTGACGGAGCCAGATGTTGTCTATGTGGCACCGTCCGCATCAACCATGTGGATTTATTTCCATACAGCGGCTCAGATTGAACCATGCAAAACCTCAGAGTCGGGATTTACTGTTACACAGTCGTGACAGAGCGTGGGTTTAACGCGTGTCCTTCTTTCATGTGATTTTATAGCATCTGATTCGACTAGAGTTTTACTATTGAGATGTATGGGCGGTTCAACACGTCAGCAATAACAGTTCAATGAGGATGCACTTTCATCTCATTATTCTAAAGAACACATAATAATGATATTTGTAATGAATTGTGATATGAATTGCTCTTATTGTTTAATGCGTTTCTGTTTAAAATTGCATAAAATACTATTAAAAGTTTTAGAATCATGGGCGGCACTAGACAGGGGCCAGTGCCCCTGAAAAACTGCTTCTTTTATGGCCCCTGTACTGCAAATATTTAAATTAAAATACATTTTTCTTTAAGTGTATTATGCTTTGATTTAAAGAGGTAAGACAGTGTACAGATGAATAAGATGATTTAGGTTTTAAGAGCAAAAATGCTAATTCATTTTGGCAGATCATTGGCTTTGTGATTCTCTGATAATACTAAACGATTTGCTCTGGCCCTGATTTTCTTTTGCATGATTCTAAGTAATTAGATTACTTAAAAACATGAGTGTCAAGAAGATTGACTTCTCATAAAACCTTAAGCTGGAATGCAAGATTTATTTTTAATAACTTAAAAACAAATAGCCTGTAGAACCGGATATACGGTCTATTAAGTCATCTTTTTTATTGTTATTATTATTACTTCGTTAATTGCCGTACTAACCCAAACATAGGACAACCCTTATTGTCAGTTTTGCCAGGACCGGTTTTTAGGAACAAAACAAAAAGACCAGAGAGAAAAAAATATATATATTCTTATATTGAAGTGCTAACAATGCTATTTATATTAATATTTAAATGAAGAAGTTTGCAATTAAATCATAAAAACTAAAACAAAAATTTTTTTTGACAGGTTTAATGGATATCTTGCAACACTCCAACTGGAATGCAATCTGAACTTTGCCCACCAAACGTCTCAAAAACCTTCATGAGGCTTTTACTCCTCGCTGCGCTCGCTGTCACTCCTACTCTCACCCTGCAGCTCTGCAATTTTTTGATAAGCTTTTCTTTTGCTGTTTGCATTTTTCTGGTCTTTTCTTCTGACATTGCACTCTGTAACTCCGTACTTCTTTGCTGCCTGACACTTGTTTGATGCCTCCGCTGCGTTGACCACCATTATTTTAAAATTAGCATCATAACTCCGCCTCAAATGTCTGCAAACTTTTGATCCACACCGTTCTGGGCAGCAACTCTCCACTTCTTCTCTGTTGTGATAGAAAGTTGACGCCAGGCACGGTGAGGTCACTGGCTTTACTAATAACTGACACCCTCTGCTGTTGCATTCGTGTAGCGAAACCCAGACAACTGTCAACCAGTATAATTGGTTATACCCCGATTATAAGACAACCCCACATTTTCACATCGTTTTAATGAAAAAATAAATAAATACGGTAATCAGAATACGATATTTTCCACGATACAATTTACTAGTTTGAAATGTATGGTTATTTTCATATGTAATGTTAAAAACAGTACAGAAAGTTTTGATTTTAGATTGACTCTCATACTCTGCTTGCTGAATCTTTTATTACCCAGGGTAAACTGATGGATGGGAAGGTGATCGATTCCTCGCTGTCCCGGGACCCTCTTGTTGTGGAGCTGGGGAAGAGGACGGTTATTCCTGGTAACTTTTCAAGTATTGATATAACAGTTTTTTTGCAGAAAATTGAAAACTTTTTTTTTCTCTCATCATCAGTGTTTTGGAATATTCTTCACAGGTCTGGAGCAAAGCTTGATTGGTGTTTGTGAAGGGTAAGATGTAATGGCAAAAAGAAAAAGAGCTTGCATTTTTCAAAAGCTGATATAATGCTGTACGAATGAATTTATAGAAGTAGATGTGCTTTCTTGCTTTTAGGCAAAAAATAAAAGCCACCATTCCTCCTCACCTTGCTTATGGAAAAAAAGGATACCCTCCTACGATTCCAGGTACACAGCTGAGGGACTCAGACTACATTTGATAAAAGAAAACCTTCAAATTGAAATAGCTTCTAAAACTCTTCCATCTGTTGCAGGTGATGCTGTTCTTGAATTCGAGGTGGAGGTGATTTCTCTGTCACCACAGACGCAGTGGCAGAAGATCATCAATGACGTGTTCCCCTTGGTGTGTTTGGCCCTGGTGCCGACTCTGCTCGGCCTGGTGGGGCTTTACCTTTACAAAAAGTCCACAGCCGAGAAGCCCAGCAAAAAGAAGTCCAAAGATAAGAAGAGTAAGAAGAAATAAGGGCTAGGCAGATCATTTAATTTAAATAAACTTTTTCAAAGACTCTGTTTTTGTCTCTTGAATACAAAACAGCCTTTTGTAAGTGCTTTGACACAAAGAAATACAATTTTTGAAAGTACCTATACCCGCCTTTTTTTTTAAGTAGCCTTGATTTCTTTTGTAGGTTACTCAGTGCCTTAGATTTAAATGACACCGTTACATGATTTAGATTGCTTAACACAAAGAACTTCAGGGGACATCTTTAACTTTTAAAAGTTTTATAACAATCAATTTGGATTTAACATATGATCTACTTTTGTTTATATTAAAAAACCTATGAGGCAAGGCAAGGCAAATTTATTTGTATAGCACAATTCATTACAGAGACAATGCAAACTGCTTTACATGATTAAAATGTAGGAAAATAAAACAGAATCAAAGCAATTAGGAAAAAAATGAAACAAAAAATGCAGAAATAAAAAAGAATATTAAAAACATGAGTAGAAATGTTAACATATAGCTGCAGTGTTTTAAACCAATACTGACAAATCACTGTGATTTTTAGGGTGTAAAGAAATTAGACTTTTTTTTTTTTTATCTCCATTTCACATGACTACAAACAGTGCAGTGCTGTGAAAATTTATTTGCATCCTCACAAATTTCTTTTTTTTTTTTATCACCTAACAGGAGATTTTAATTTATGAAGGGACAAAATGTATTTAACCAAACTGCTGTTATGTGAAAATGTTATTGGTTTACCTGTTAAATTATAAAATTAAGTGTGATTACCCCTATTTTTTTAATTAGTCTGAGAGCAGTAGAAGAAATTATTCAAATAGAACTGTGTCTGTTGCTTAGTGTTAGCACCAATTTGGCTACCTTCATAATACCTACATTCTTAAACAAACAAAAACAAAAAACGTTTAAACACCCACAAAATATTGAAGAAATGTATAAAAAGCAGCAATAACCAGGTTGCATAAGGGTGCACACCCTGTCTGAGAAGAATTTCCTGACCTGCTGATCATATTGCTAAAAGCAGAGTTTGAAAAGAGGTTTAAAGGATTGAATTAATCTCACTAGACAAAAAGTAACAAGTCAGGACGAAGATACATCGATTCCTGAGAAAAAAAAAGAGTCCATAGCATTATATTATTATTTATTCTTGCACAGCAATGGCAGTCGTCAGGTAATTGGTTGATCATTAGTCTAAAAAGACTAAATAGTTGGTGTTAATGCGAACTAGAGAAGCAGAATGCTCCCATTCTTCTAATAAGACTAGTTTCCAAATGTCTCAACTATGAGAAAGGGTTGTAAATATACTTTTTGCTTGTATTAAATGTTGAACTAACTTAAAAACATGTTTTACATTATTATTTGCATTGTTTTTAGTATGAGTAATATAATGTTTATATTTCTGGAATTTGTATTTATATAATATTGTTATAGTATTATTTTATTCATCTTTTTATTGCAACACCATACCTATGGTGAAGCATGGTAGTGGCAGCACCACACTCTGGGCTTACTGCTCTTTGGTTGGAATGTTTTTTTTTATTATTGTTTTTCTAGAACCTTTTCTAAATCCTTTAGGAACATTTTTTTTAGCCTCAGTTCATTTTTTTTAACTCACGGAGTTCTGGTACTTAGCTCAGGAATCACATAGAAGTTTTTGCTAAGAGATTCAACCAGAGAAACAGACATGATCAAATTGAACCAATACATGCTTTAACTAAGTTCCAGTTCAAGGGTGTGCATGATAATTTAGCCGTGTTGTGGCTTTTTTTTTTTTTTTTTTTACCTTTTTCCTGTAAAACATCTTCAGTTTTTCTGTTCAGCATATATTTATTATTAAATTATGAAAAAAAAAACCTTTTGAATACTTTATCAATCTATTTTCTTTATCACTAAACTTGGCATTTGGAAATGGGTGGATGCACTTGTAGAAATCCTCTGTAAATCTCCTGCATTACAGTCAGATCAATATTGAGTCATTCTGTGTGCACTGGCTCTAATTGGGGCAGAGTTTAAATCTAGAAATTTATAAATGTAGGGAATCCAGAAACACATCTGAAAATATGGCCAATGTTTTTATTCAACGGAAACAAAGCTGCACATCTGACTCTAAGGAGAAACCAAAGCTTCCTGTAGTCTATTCCTTATTCAATGCAATTCAATTATACCTTATTATTATTTTTGATAAACAACACAATCGCAAAGGCTTGGTTGAAACAAATCATTACCCAATATCCTGTTGTTATTATACTGCTGAAAAAATATAGGTAATTTAGCAAAAGACTGAAAAGAGGTTGTTAAAGTAAAATATGTTAAAGTCAAAACAGTCTACTTTACAAGAGGGATGTCCTGTGTAACAGTGGAGTTATAAGAATCTTAAATTTTTGAGCTTCAATATTATAATTTCATAATGTTTCTGGTACTATGTGGAAATTCTTTATAGCCTTTAAAACCTATAGTATTCCTTCTAAAAGTAACCACACCTCATGAAGCCTTTTTCACATTTAGTTAAAAGAAATCACAAACTTAATGGTATGTAATTCCTCGTTTTTTATAAGGAAGAAAGATACACAGGAATACCCCCCCCCCCCCCCCCCTAAAAATAAAAGTGTGGCATGGATTTATATTTTGCCCCCTCATTCTGATAAACATAATACTACCTTGGGTAATTTTTGGGTAATTTTTAGCTGTTAGTAATGGACTCAGAGGTTTTTTAGTGGTCCAGAAAGGACAGGGAAGGTCCTCAAAATAAAAAAAAGAGCATTGTAGAAGCATGCAACATAGAGAAAGAATGTTATAAATATATTTACCTCCTCAGGTTTGTGTCATGCTCATGTGAATGATTTGATGATTTGATTCAGGTGTGTTAAACAAGTTTGAACCAATATATACAGAATCAAAAGGGACTGAAGGATGAGACGTCTGGTTTAGATAAAAAAATAATTTTCAAGGTGTACAAACATTTTATTTGTTTAAAAATGTCAAGAAAAATGTCCATCTTGATTGTGCGGCAGTTGGAGATTATTAGTTTGCAACAAAAAGACATTTTACATGTAAAATTGTGGTGAAGTAAAATGCATTATGCAAGACACTGGCAAAAATAAAACACAAAATATGCAATATATTTTTTATGGCCTATAGAAAGATTCGGCTGTATTAGGTAAAGAGCTAAAGTTTACCTATTGTTTCATTTTAAAATTACTATATCTATTTCTAAATTGGATATTGCTATTTTGAATAGTGTTACCCTCTCAAAATACTGGCCTAAGTCATTTATTTATTTGTTGTAGACACAACAATAGTGAATAAAGTGATTATAGCAATTTAATGATTTAATAAAAAAAAAAACTTGGAAATGCAGGATCTCCCCAGTTGGTTATTAGGACAATTTGAAAAGTGGACAGCATCAAGAGTATATACAGTTCCAGACAGGGGTCAACAGAGGGCAGTGTCATTTTAGAATTTGTCTTGGCTGCTGTTATGGCCCCTGTACTAAAAACGTAACATTAATCCATCTTCTTCTGATAAAACATGCTGGCACATAGACCATAACTGAATGGTTGCTGGGACCAATTTCCAGCTTTTATTGTCATTACACTTTGACAAGTAGAGAGCATAAAAATGAACTCTCTGCATTTAACCCATCCACTTGAGGAGCAGTGGGCTGCCGTCGTGCGGCGCCTGGAGAGCACTGTGGGGGTTAGGGTTTTGCTCAGAGTGGCGGTGACTTTTTTTTTTTTTTTTTTTTTAAGGCTGCCAGCCATTGTGCAGCGCCAGAAAAGCAGTCTGGTGTTAAGGGTCTGGCTTAGGGACCTTGAGTGGCAATCTTTAGTTGCTCGAATTCAGAACCTCAGGATTCCAAGGTCTATGCACTAACCACTAGGCCGCCTCCTCCTCAGATTAGTTTTGTTTCATATCATTTTGGGCCCCAATAAAAACTCTCCCTGTCCCCTGGTCAATTTGATCTAAGTCCGCCACTGGACACCAGAAGGCGATTTAAGCACAAATATCATTATTATAAAACAAACAATTTTTTTTTAATTATTCATTTATTTATTGGAAGTTGGTAGAAAGTGGTTACAGAGAGAAGCCCTGTTAAAAATGTGAATACAGTAAAAGATATCCTCTCGAGGGCTTGCGAGACGAAGAAGAAGAAGAAGCGGCGAGGCGTTTGGTGCATGGCGCGTGTTTTGAAGCTGCTCTGCTTGTGGAGAAATGTCCTGGGCCGTGAGTAGTGAGGAAACAGGAAGCGATTCTTGTGGGATGGAAGAGGGAAATAGTGACAATGAAGGTTGGAAGATAGCAGCATCAAAAAATGAGAAAAAGCGGAAAAAACAGAGATCAGTTAAAGGGGAATCTAGTTCAGAACAATCCAGTGATGATCAATCCATACATTCCACAGCACAACAAAATGAATTCAAAGTCATATTCAAAGTCGTTAATCAGGCAGACTCTTTTACAAACTGGAATCCGGTTCACTTAACAAAAACCATCAATAAACTTGTTGGAGAAGTCAGAGGTGCCAGAATTCTGTACAGTGGAGACCTGCTAATTAACTGCAGAGACAGCGCCCAGCAAGGCAAAGCAATACGTATTAACAAAATTGACGGGATAAGAGTTCAGTGCAGCCTAATGGAGAACAAAAAGATCAGCAGGGGAGTCATTGGAGGAGTTCCTCTGAAAATTTCTGAAAAAGAGATTCTGGAAAACATAAGCGGTGCAAAAGTAAAAGAAGTAAAACGGTTAAAAACAACAAGAAACGGAGAAAGATCTGACAGTTTATCTGTACTAATTAAATTCGAGGAAGAGCAATTACCAAGCAAAGTATTCATCGGTTACATCAGTTACAATGTCAAAATCTACAATCCACCACCATTGAGATGTTTCAAATGTCAAAAATTCGGACACATTGCAGCAGTTTGTAAAGGGAAACAGAGGTGTGGAAGGTGTGCAGGAGAACATGAATATGGTAAATGTGGAAAAGAAGCTAAAATAAAATGCTGTAATTGTGGTGGAGAACATACTGCTGCTTATCGCGGCTGTGAAGCAAGCAAAAGGTCTGAAGAAATAAAAAAAATGAAATTTGAGCTTGGAATAACTTATGCTGAAGCTGCAAAAAGGATCCCATCTCAGTCAGAAAAACCCAAACCTACAGTTCAACACACGGCAAATTTCAAACCTCTAGAGAAATCTCCAAAAATTGATGAAGACTCACTAATTGTTAAAAAGACAAATTTTGTTCTTTTCATGGTGGAAGTGATTAATTGTACTGCTCAGACGACAAAAAAAACAGAAAAAATCAAAATAATAGTGAAGGCTGCAGAAAAATATCTGGATGTTAAAGATATGAACTGGGAGATGGTTGGAAGCATGATGGAAAGACCAATGGGACCATCAGAAACTGGCAGAGGTACGATGACCTAGAGTAAATTAAAATTATACGGGCAAATGTAATTTAGTATAATTTAGTATTATGTGGGTTTAAGTTACACAGGTTATTTTATTGTATTTTTTTTTTTTTTTTTTTTTTTTTTTTTTTTTTCTTTTTGGGGGGGGTGAATCGTTTCCTGTTTCCTTGCTTTACTCCATATCAGTTGGTGGCGGTAATGCACATTTCACAAGTTTGCCAACCGCCATAAAATCTCATAAGAAGAAGAAGAAGAAGAAGATATCCTCTCTGGTGAAGCAGTTAGAGGGCGGAGCGGACGGGTTTTTGTGTCGCTGCTGCCTCTTCCGGTCCTCTTTCCAGCTTCCCGTGCAACATGGTGAGTGTGTGCTGCCGACCGCGGCATTTCATCGACTTAATAAACTCAGACTTTGGTCGAGTTCCCTTGCAATTTTAATACATTTGAGTATTTCCAAACACGACACGAACACAGAACTTGAGAACTAGGTGTTAAATACCTATTATGGCGAGTATTAAACGAGTCGAGGCCTAATGCTAACCGTTAGCAGGCTAGCCGTTTCTTGCATGTGTTCTTTGAGCAGGCTAACGATAAGGCTAACGTAAACTGAGACAGGGCATAGGAATATTATGTGATTTATTTTAAGAACGGCATTTGGATGAAACGGCATGTGAAATGAACAGTTTATTTGTTCCTGATGGTTTTAAACGTAGTTGAGCTAATCTGCTAACTATCCGCATCCTTGTTTCTGCCATACAGTCTGCTTTAAACTCAAATCACCTCTATTATAGGGCTTTGAGAATAAGCTCGCCTGTATTTTTCTCGATAAAATTTTGCTTTTCTAAACGTTAAATTTACTTGAATTTGATTTTGATGTTGAAAGGGATAACATAACGAGTTACTACATACAATTTAAATGCACTGCTTTCTTTCCAGTTGGCTAAATTAGCTGTTAGTGTTTAGCTGATGGAGTAGAGAATCCTTCCTTTTGCAATACAAATGGAATAGATATTTAACTTTATTTGACTGACACGTTTAAAAAGACTAAATTTAAAAAGCTGAAATTTAGTGGTAAAATTGTCTCTAGCTCTCATTGAATCCTGTGATGTTGCCTGCTAATACTTCCAAAACTTCATAGAAAAAATGGTATTCTAAATGGTCATGTGGCTTTATTATTGTAAGCAAGGCTGGTATTGGAAAACATCTTTAGTAATTAAGACTTTTTTTCTATTTTTTATCATTTGCTTGAGAATTTGATTCCTTTGTAAAATCATGTCATATAAACAACGTTGAAAATGTTAAGATCTTAGTATGTTATGCAGGAAAGCTGCTGATAGAAGCTCATAAATTATCAAGTCGGAATGAGAAACATGTTAAACATTTCATTTTTTATTTATATTTCACAGACCAAGAAAAGGAGAAACAACGGTCGTGCCAAGAAGGGCCGCGGACATGTGCAGCCCATCCGCTGCACCAACTGCGCCCGCTGCGTCCCCAAGGACAAGGCCATTAAGAAGTTTGTCATCAGGAACATAGTGGAGGCAGCGGCTGTGAGAGACATCTCAGACGCCAGTGTCTTTGACTGTACGTTTCAGCTACATCAGACATAAAATAGCTAATCTGTAATATGAGGTAGCTTTCAGGTTTAATTTGATCACATTTAAAGCTCAGATATGTTGCCTTTCACATGTTGGTTTTATATAAATGCTGGAGATGCTATCAATGGCTACTTTTAAATTAGGATTAGAGGATGCTGATTTATCAGTCTTCATATTTGTTTTATTTTTTTTTTCTCTCTGCAGCATATGTTCTGCCTAAGCTCTATGTGAAGCTGCACTATTGTGTTAGCTGTGCCATCCACAGCAAAGTAGTGAGGAACCGCTCCTGTGAAGCCAGGAAGGATCGTACCCCACCTCCAAGATTCAGGCCCGCTGTGAGTGTTGTACCGATTTTGTCTGGCTGGGTTATAGAACGAGCTAATTAAAAGTTTTGCATAAAATGAGCTGAACCAATATGCTAAGAAAGAGTAACAAGATTTAAGTAGAGTTGTATATTAACTACATTTTTGTTTTTCTTTACAGGCTGGTGCACCAAGAGCTCCTCCAAAGCCGATGTAAAGCGCAATCTGAAGATGCTGTGTACCTGAAAAGAAAATTAAAACATCTTTACAAAACATAAATGGGTTAAGCCGTTTTATTTTTGTAGGAAACACAAATGAATCAGCTTTTGTTTAGGGTAGATTCCTACAGTACAAAACGTACAGCAAGTTTAATATGACTTAAGCAAATGCAAAAGTACACATGATACATTAAAAAAGCTGTAGTTAAAGCAGTATTGAGATAAAAATTACATTAAAGCAGACATTTAGGGAAGCGTCACAAAGATCACGATAGTATAGGAAATTGACGTTCATAACTTTTTTGTTTATTTAAAAAGGATTTGTATTGGCTCAGGTGCAATGGCTTTGGTACAACATACAGGACTGATTTAACCATGTGATAAAATTGAGGTAAATGCATTAAAGGACAGACATTTTAGGAGCCATCATACCATTAATTTTGATTAAATCTTCGACAACTTGGTCAGCTGTGTACAGTTTCTAAAAGGCTGGCAAAAAAAAAGCTAATGACTTTAAATTAAAGGCACAACACAATTCTTAAATGCTAAGGGTGATAAAAGCTTTTTCCTCTTACAACCAATTAAGACAAATGTTTTGCCATTCTTGGTAATGATGTCCCCAAGTGTTCAAATAGGTTACAGGAGACCAAAACCTAAGTAAACCTCTCAATTAGCCTGGGGGGGTCATTCATTTCCTCTGTAAAATTTAGAATTTTAAATATTAAAGTGCAATGTTACTCAAGTCTACTTGAGAAAATGTGCTTGGATATTAAAATTGTCCTTAGAGCTGAAATGAGGTATATATTAAAATCACACCATTTGAAATGACATCCACAGAATAAAGTGGACATAAGGATCATTTCCAAAATCCTTTAACAGCAAACAGCTTTTCTAACCCCCAAATGTACAAATATCTGATATCCTGCCACTACTACCAAGAAAAGTGCTTTACAGTAGCAAACAAGTGGTTCTTTGGCCCAGCTATTAGAATATTTGGTGCTGCAATGAACCACAATTATACCAAATAAACATGCCTAAAACTGTTTTCAAACATCTTATGCTTCGGAAAATTTCCATCTAAACCATTTTTAAAACTATAAGAATCAAATGAGACAACGAACCATTCACAACACAGGTACAACCACTTAATTTAGAGCCTATGGTGGCCGAACGGGTTCAATTTAGTTCTCAGTAAAATAATCATTTGAAGTTGAGTAAAAAGACTAACAAAGTGGAAAATCTGTAATCGAATCACAAAACTTGTGCTCGAGGTCAACTGATTATTTCAACTTGTCTATTTTGAAGCAAATAATTTTTATTGATGCAGTGGATAATCATTTCAATTAAGTCCAAGATTCAAACTGTCTCCAGGACAAAAAAAAATGTTTATGATCAATAGGCAATAGATTAATTAAATATCAAAACGAAAGTTAAATTCCTCGTTTATCTTTCGTTTTTGCTGAAATGGCCAAACTAGGAACAGTCCGGTCAACAACAAAACCATCAACTTTTCGTAACATCAGGTATAATTTTGTTTCCGATTAACACTTGCAGAAAAGCCACAAATAATTTTAAATGTATATTAATAAAAAAAAACGAGTGCTTTAATTATTCTGTAACACTCTAAACTTCTCAAATCTTCCACAATGGAAGAGTTTCAAGACATGAAGTCTAGTAGCTTCAGATCAGGGAACAGATTAAAGGCACAATAAAATGACAGAGCATCAAATGCCTTTTAAATATATCATAAATAGATCTGTTATATATCGGTGTTGCAAAATACCTAAAGTTATTTTTCAGAGGGAAATTTTAATCTAAACCGTGGCAGTGTTATTTGAACCCCTCTTGTAGTAGAGCTTTCTTTAGTGTTTCACCCTCACATTTTCTTCAGAGACATACAGATCAATGTATTTCTAAAAAATAATTTAATATAATCAGATTTCTGGCAGGTATCAGTGCAAACAAAACAGAAGAAAAACAGATTCATACACTGATAATGCAACAACAACACAAAAACAAGGGCCTTCATTATCCACTTTCACAACAAAACAAACGGCCCCTCGACTTCTTTCTCACGCAAATACATACAAACATGGATCTCTTCATTTCACCTCTTGTAAAAACCAAAGTGCATTTCTAATTTAAGTACAACCCCTTCTATCATTTCACTGTAGTTGATATGGACCTGGTTATTGAGCTTGATTAGTTTGTAAGAAGCGACTGAATGTACAGGATTAATCAAACATTGGAGAATTGTTAAAGCACTTCCCATTTTTCCAAAAAAAACTTTAAATGAGGCATATTTGTCATTACAGATGTCAGACTTTCCTGTGTCACTTCTGGTAATGATTTGTCTACAACAAATTTGTGCATGCAGCTTGAATCCTGAAATTTGGTGCAAGGCACATTTGTGGATAAAAGAGGATTTTGTCTTTCTACACTTTGGAACACCCTCATTAACAATGCAATTATAGTTGCCCAAATACCTAGAGCCCCTTTTACCATTTTTGTGCCAGTATCTAAAACATTCAGGACCAACTTCTTGCTGTCAGTGACCACTTCAAGCTCAAGTGTGAAAGCTCTATGTGAAGAGGAGGTTGGATGGACTTCACCTTTAGTCAATAATGTGCTCTCCACGAACAATGTGTGAGGAAAATTCGTATCTGTCCTGGCTCCGATAGCCGCAGATGTTGCACTCGAAAGGCTGACGAAAACCGTGGCAGCCCATGTGGATGGTAAACATTACATGGTCCAAGAAAAGCACACGGCAATGCTCACAGCGGAACGACCGCACAGGCCGCCCTTCTGCGTCAACGACCCGGAAAGCCTCCCTTGAAGTAGAAGAAGGTGCTGTAGGTGAACTGGAAGTAGGAGCCAAGGCGGGAGGGGGAAGGCCTCGGTGTCCTCCATCTTCTCTTTCCATCTCCCGATCTTTGGCTCTGCTGGGACTGTGTCTGTCCAGACTCCTGTGGTGTGAGGGTGGAGCAGGTCTTGTGATATGGTTGCTGGAGTGAAGGAGCTGATGCCCATTGTTACTGGGTAATGGTGGAACGGGGGCTGTGCTGTTACCCGGCTCATCCGGCATGCTTTCTGTGTCTGTGGAGTCCTGGAAACCATTACTAGGTGACGGTGCGTGACTTTGCCCGGATGGAAGGTCCTCATGACCCTCGGCTGCCTCTCTCCCCCCGACAACTACGGTTCCAAGCCCGGCTCCAGTGCAATCCAACCTTGTGCCCAAAGCAATTGAGGTGCGAGGAGAGCTGTGGCTCGGCCGGAGTTCTTTTAAAAAGGATGTTTGAGTGGTAGGAAGGTGTAGAGGCCTAATTGCATCCATTAGTCCCCCTCCGTTACCTGCTGTGTACTCTCCTCCGAGGCTGGTATAGTGAGGGACTTCCAGGTCTCCAGCTTGCATGTCTTCGCCTTTATCTAAACCAGCTGTCAGGTCATAAGATCCATCTGCAATGGTGAGGCGCATGTGCTTCTGTCCTGAAACACAAAAACACACAATCTTATGATGTATTCTGCAACGCCATTAAATGAACGAATATTGAATCTTTCAATGGATTTTATGCAGTGCCTTGTAAAAGTATTTTCTATCCCTGCTCAACATATTCCACGTGTTACCTATCAAGGCCATAAAAGACACTTATTTGGCTGGATCATGTGAAAAAAAAACAAAAAAACGCATTAATTTGCAGTGGAAGAAAGTGACACAATTTTACTCAATGTCTCCAAAATAATATGTTAACACTCAACCAGAGTGGATCCTAGTAGAAACACCTTTGGCTGCAATAACATCTGCTAGTCGTTTTAAATGTAATTTTAGTCTCTCCCATTCTTTGCATAAAAGCTCAGTCTGATTGGATAGAGAGGATCTACATATTGATTTCTAGTTTTCCCCATGCATTTTAGAGTCTATTCAGGGTTCTAATCAGGGCATTTCCTTTGAGTCAGCACTACAAAAACTTAATATCAAACATGTTACAGGTGCTTGTGTGGTTGTTCAGGTGTGCATATTTAGGTTAATTTATGCTCTTCCTGAGCACTATAGTTTTCTCCCTGGACCCTGACGGTAACTACAATTACAATGTAATAAAATCCTGGTCAGAACCCTGGTTGTTGAACTTTTATTAGAACATTCTAACAGAAAAATTGTTCTAACCATACAGCAGTCATCAAGTTGAGAGTGATCTACCCGGGTTGGTTGCAAAAAACAGATTCTAGATTGCTGCGTGAACCGAGATCTTCGGTTTTCCTCAAGCACAGTGGTGTGTGTCCCTGTATGTCACGTGGCACATGTCATGTGGTTTGATGCCCCAACAGGTAATGCACTGTCATCCTATTCTACTTATCTTTTTGTGACATCTGACACAAATATCTTCCTTGTCAACTCTCAGCACAGCTGTGCTGCTGGTGGGCCGACAGGAGCTGCCAGTGTTATTCTTTCTCAAGCCAAAACCAGTTTAAAATTTTTCGATGAAACTACACTCAGGTGACGTCAGGCTGAACAAATGCACGCCACACTCTTCAGATCTTTATGTGTACAGGTGCTGGTCATAAAATTAGAATATCATGAAAAAGTAGATTGATTTCAGTAATTCCATTTAAAAAGTGAAACTTGTATATTATATTCATACATTACATACAAACTCATATATTTCAGATGTTTATTTTGTTTAATTTTGATGATTACAAATGACAACAAATGAAAATCTCAAATTCATCATATCAGAAAATTAGAATATTGTGAAAAGGTTCAAAATTGATGGCCCCTGGTGCCACACTCTAATCAGCTAATTAACTCAAACCACCTGCAAAAGCCTTTAAATGGTCTTTCAGTCTAGTTCTATAGGCTACACAATCATGGGGAAGACTGCTGACTTGACAGTTGTCCAAAAGACGACCATCGACACCTTGCACAAGGAGGGCAAGACACAAAAGGTCATCGCTAAAGAGGCTGGCTGTTCACAGAGCTCAGTGTCCAAGCACATTAATAGAGAGGCGAAGGGAAGGAAAAGATGTGGTCGAAAAAAGTGTACAAGCAAGAGAGATAACCGCACCCTGGAGAGGATTGTGAAACAAAACCCCTTCAAAAATGTGGGGGAGATTCACAAAGAGTGGACTGCAGCTGGAGTGAGTGCTTCAAGAACCACCACACACAGACGTATGAAAGACATGGGTTTCTGCTGTCGCATTCCTTGTGTCAAGCCACTCTTGAACCACAGACAGCGTCAGAAGCGTCTAAAGAGAAACAGGACTGGACTGCTGGTGAGTGGTCCAAAGTCATGTTCTCTGATGAAAGTAAATTTTGCATTTCCTTTGGAAATCAAGGTCCCAGAGTCTGGAGGAAAAGAAGAGAGGCACTTCATCCACGTTGCTTGAAGTCCAGTGTAAAGTTTCCACAGTCAGTGATGGTTTGGGGTGCCATGTCATCTGCTGGTGTTGGTCCATTGTGTTTTCTGAGGTCCAGGGTCAACGCAGCCACATACCTGGAAGTTTTAGAGCACTTCATGCTTCCTGCAGCTGACCAACTTTTTGGAGATGCAGATTTCATTTTCCAACAGGACTTGGCACCTGCACACAGTGCCAAAGCTACCAGTACCTGGTTGAAGGACCATGGTATCCCTGTTCTTAATTGGCCAGCAAACTCTCCTGACCTTAACCCCATAGAAAATCTATGGGGTATTGTGAAGAAGAAGATGCAATACACCAGACCCAACAATTCAGAAGAGCTAAAAGCCACTATTAGAGCAACCTGGGCTATCATAACACCTGAGCAGTGCCACAGACTGATCGACTCCATGCCACGCCGCATTGCTGCAGTAATACAGGCCAAAGGAGGCCCAACTAAATACTGAGTGCTGTACATGCTCATACTTTTCATGTTCATACTTTTCAGTTGGCCAACATTTCTATAAATCATTTGTTTTTATTGGTCTTCAGTAATATTCTAATTTTCTGATATGATGAATTTGAGATTTTCATTTGTTGTCATTTGTAATCATCAAAATTAAACAAAATAAACATCTGAAATATATGAGTTTGTATGTAATGTATGAATATAATATACAAGTTTCACTTTTTAAATGGAATTACTGAAATCAATCTACTTTTTCATGATATTCTAATTTTATGACCAGCACCTGTATTAGGTTTTGAAAACAATGCTGCCATATTCTTCCACTTTATAATTATTCGGTACCACGTGTTGATGATTCGCAGAGTCTCATTATACTGGTTTTAAAGTGAAATAGCATTATGTATCGGATCTCAATCCTCAGCAACATAGCCATGTAGGCTACATGGCAGTTAGAAAATACTGCTTGGTTGAAATATTTAGTGAGCAAATATTTTATGCAAATTATGCATGCCTTCTCTCCTTCGCCCTTTGATATAAACCTTACAATGCCTTTAATGCCCAAAGTTCAGAAATAACTTAAGTAGCTGAAATACCAACACTCTCTCAGAGTAAACAGTTGACATTAAAGAGAAACGAAAATTTAGGATAATCAATATGGTCATTACAGCACTGAGGAGTAGCTTTGCAGTTAAATATTTTCTTCATATTGTGAAGCCCTGTTTTAAAGTGACAGAATAAAAAAAAAAACAAGAAAAGAAAGGATTTAGAATACTTTAGCAAGGTACTGCATGTATTTATGAATCTAGTTAGGATTGTTAATTACTATATGCCTTTTTTTTTCCTTCAAAACAGCTAGAAAGCACCGAATCCTCACAAAATATATACGGGGGAATGGCAAACCAATATGACTCGGCTTTCCAATTCACACTTTAAAAACAATGGATATCTCTTTGCTAATGACCTAAAACCATCCACACTGGACTAAATGCTCACCTACAAATTTTTGTGGTGTGGATCTTTTGCGTTTAGTGACGCTGTTGGCGAGCCGATCGATAAATGCCATCTTGTCTGAGGAGGGCTGCAGAAGAGAGTCTGGTACAAACTCTAGCTCTCTCATCTCCACTCCTGGACAGAGTACAAACACACTGTTACGTTAATTTTAGGTTTCCTAAAATTAAATCCTAGTTTTCTGTGGAATCTAATCCACCTTTCTAGGCTTCAAGCAATTTAGAAAGGAGGACTATGTTATACCCGTAGAAGCCAAGAAGCCATTTTTTTTAATGGAATCCGTAAAAGAAAGAACTCCCTGTTCTATACCTAGATTTTGCGCACTGTTTGCTGGTTGTGACTCCAGACTCTGCAGGTAGCCATGGCAGCGCTCCTGGTGTTCCTCCAGGGTGCTCTGTTGCTTGTAACTACGGCCACAATAACTGCATTTATATGGCTTCCCTATGGTTGGAGAGGTCACTGCAGATAAAGGAGGGAGAAATTTATAAAGTAAAAAAAATAAACAAGACATTTAATTGTCATCTAGTTATTCTACCTGCATGAGTGCGTAAGTGGCCAGTAAGGGCATCTCTTCTTCGACAAGCGTAGCTGCAAAAAGGACATTTGAAGGGCTTCTCCCCCGAGTGCAGTTTGATGTGCCGCAGCAGATTACCCTTTTGGGTGAACGAAGCGCCACACTGGTTACACTGAAATGGTCGCTCCCCTGTGAATTGTGAAGCAAGTTAACCTGCAATCTCTATAATCAACTTAACAGCTTGAAAAACTTGTCTTGCTCTAGTCAAGTAAAAAACACAGGGTTCCTGTGGATCTTCAATTGCCAAACTCTGTACATGTACAGAGTCATTACTTTTAATAACATTTTTGACATTTAAGTACAAAAAATCAGATAAAAGCTTTGTAAGGCATCTATTCTACACTTTCTAAGCTCAGTGCAAGTACCACAGGTCCCATCTGAAAACCCTGGCTCAAAGTGAGTAAAAGCTAGGGAAAAAAAGCTGTTATACTGTATTCTTTGTCTCATTTTAAATAGGTTTGTTTTTATTTGTGTGTTCGAAGCCCTATACTGAAGGCTAAATTTTAAAGTTGAGCTGGCAAAGCAAAGCTACATGAACCATTTTTATTAGATCATTGGTTAAATCTATTTACAAATTGGAACATTTCATTTATTTCTTTTTAAGAATATGTCACAGGTAATAATTTCTGGAACCTAAACTGTTTTCCTATTCTTAGCTACATTCAGGAAGAACAAAAAACAAAAACATTTTTAAACCTTCCAAATATCTTAAAATGTTAACATGCGTTATGCACATGCACTGCTTCTGTTATTCTTACACAAAAACGTACATTAGGAGTTTTAAAACTCACCGGTATGGCTGCGTTTGTGGACCATCAGAACATTCGGCCCGATGCAGATCATTCCACAAATATCACACTTCAGCTTTCCATTCGGGAGTCTGGTGGCTCCAGATGGCATCGTTTCGGGGTTGATTACTTCCCTGTAACCTCCGCCAGACTCAGATCCCTGCCCTGATCCTCCGTCATCTATGCGCTCGGTTCTCTCGTCTTCATTACTGCGTCCTAGGTCTTCATCACTGTACAGCTCTACTTTAATAGAGTTTGCTGCAAAGGTCCAAGAATTACATGATGGAAACATCTCATTAAGCCACATGAGCTGCAATAGAAACCTTATTGAAAAAAAAAAAAAAGATAATCAAATATCTGCACTTTAATACGAGACAATGAGCAGATTATAGTATCAAAATGTCGGGGTCAAATACAGCATCTCAATTAATTAGGTTACAGAAACTGAATTTAAATATTTCCATTCAAAAACTGGAACTTTATCTTATCACAGAGAGAAAGAAACATTTTCCTGGCAACTATTACCTTTGGATAGATGTAGTTTACAATAAAAACTACAGTTTATGAAAAACTAAAAGAAATAACAAAAATAAATATATTTTTATAAGAAGGCGGCAACTGACTGAAACCCTGTCTGAAACAACTACCAGAGATCTATCTGCTGGTATTGGTTTACAGTTTTCATCCAAGTCCAAAATCAGCAATGCAGCCTGCCAGGAAGCCTTAGAGGCATTAAACCCCACAGAGTTATAGTGGTAGTGTTCTACAATTAAAATAACATTAGTAATATTTGCTGTTATGACAACATGATTTAATAAACATGAAATTTTCTAAAACAAATGAAAGCATGGAAGCTAAATATACTTTGCTAAATGAAAAAGCTTTAACACCCAAAAATGCATGTGTTTGTCCCTCAATATTCTCCAGAATAACAATGAAACAACATAATTTATACCCAATCTACCATGCTTTCCTCTTTAGTGAAAACCCTGAATAAAAAACATTCTTTTCATTCAGAATTAAAAGTATTGATTGAGAACAAATTATTTTTTTTTTTTCAAAAACTAAACTACAAAGATGAATCAAACATACTACTTCAACCACTTATTAAAATGTTCTGCAGTTTGTTGCTTTCAAAATTTCCAAGTAGAGTGGACCCCATAGTAGGGGGTGCGCCCCCTAGGGGGATCAGTATAATTGCAGGGGGAGCATATTTAAAGGGAATAAATTACAGATTTTGGTAGGTTAAGTATAGATTCAATTCCAATTCTCAACATTTAGAATCTATTATTTTTTGTCCTGTCAAAACCCCATTGAATTGCTAGTATGAAACTATTTTTTTTTTTGCTTTTGCCTGTATTAGTAATATTCAACAGCAAATTATAAAAGTAAGGGTATTTAAATGCATATTTCAAAAACCAGCCTTTGGTTATTAACATGAGAAATGATTCAGAATAGGAAGAAAATGTAAACATATTCTTGACATGCCCTAATTTTGAGAGGTGCACTTTTTTAATGATTGAAGAAAAAGTCATATTCTGTTACTCAGTAGAATAAACATTTAAACTTAAAATAATTATAATTTAAAAGAGGTATTTTTTTCTGATTGTCAAGATGATAAGAGACACCAGACCACAGGATACAGACAATCTGTGGATGTTTAAAAACTTAAAACCTTGGCAGAGCCACAAGACTTTATTAACCATTTTATATCCATTTGTGTCAAAAGTGAATCACTCTCATTACATAAGAACCTATCAAAGAGGCAGCAAAAACACAATTTTATATAATTTTATGCAATGTATTAACTAAATTCATGTAACCAAGTAAAAAAAAAGCATTACCTGCAATATATGGGATGCATGTCAAGGAGTTAACATTTCTTAAAAATACATTTTCTTACCAGCTGGATTTAAGTTTTTCCTTAGCTATTAGCCATAGACATCAGAATTAAATACAAAACTTGCATTGAAAATGATTAAAGAGCTTCAGGTTTTAATTGAATTAATTAAATGCACTATTTGATCATATTATAGTTCATTGCGATGCAAATATAGGAAAAATATTGTATAACGTCCCACTCACCACTTAGGGAGCGACTTGGAGAGTTGTTCTTGCTGTTTGGAGTGCTTACAGTTGGACCACCTAGAGCCCCAGAAAACTCTCGTTCCAGTGATGAGTCTCCACTACCTAAAACCAAAACCACAGTGATTGTGGAATCTTACCTTTGATCAAAATGCCAAAATTAAACAGCAGTTGTAGCTTCTACTAAATAAACCTTTACCTGAAACATAGACTCTGCCATTACAGTCATCTACATCCATACTAGTTCAAGCTGAATCCTGAAATCACATGTAGGCCATGGTGAGTTCTTTAAACAAATCCAATATTAAACATTATTACATGAAGGACATTATCTAAGCATTAAACCGATGCGGATTGTAATCGACGGACGCGGATCCAACTTTAATCTGCATAAATTGCAGCTTTTATCAGGCATTTCACACACTGAGCCTTAAACAGTTTGTTAGAGCGATGCTTTTAAAATCAACAAGGCTTACGTTTTAGATTAGCTTGTGGATCAATAAATCGTATTAAAACAGATCACCGGTAGCTAGGTTATGTCCATATCTAACCTTACCAAACCAGATAAAGCTCAACAGCCCATGTCAACTTCAGATAAAGCTAAAAGTTAAACCAATCTGTTGTACGATTTGTTTATGTTTATTTAATTTAAACTCCGATCACAAAAAAAGAAAGTCGGCGTTTACATAACAGTGCCGTAAGGTAATCTAAGTTTATGGCCTTGGCAGCTAACGTTAGCTTACTGCATGGGATGGAAATTACCATTTGTCAAGTTAGCTGAACTCAACAGCGAGACGATATAACGGTCTGACATCACCGACAGCTTGATAAAAACTAAAGAAACACGGCTGTAAGCAAGCGCTGGCAGTAGCAGTAGCACACAGACACAGCACCGGTTTGTGACATTAACTGGATGGCTGTCGCTATACAGTATAATCTACTCGGCTCGACGTCATGTTTTAGGCTAACACAACAAACAACCGTTAGCCTGACTGTGTTGCTTTAGCGGTTGCTATGGCAGCCGAAGCCACACCAACAACTGCAGCTAGTCAGATGGTGGTTTAACTAGGCAAACTGAACAGACGCTAATGACGTACGTGCTTTCTTAAAACTATCAGCTTCCTAACAGCCCAATGAATTACCTTTCTCTGTCAATGCAGTTTCATTGAGGTAAATCAGATTTTTTATATCGCCGTTTATGACGGCAATATTTACCGGAAGAATTGTCAGGATAGGTCAGGATAACTTCCTGGTCACAAGAGGTGTTCTCCTCTTCTTCTTCTTCTTCTATTGAGTTTTCTGGCAGTTTGCATCCTGTGTGCATTACCGCCATCAACTGGACGGAGATGTAATTCAGAAATATAATGTCTGTATATCTTTATATCTTCATGAAACTAAATTCTATCTATACTTACACACACGCACATACACACACTAAATTCTCCCAGCTAATTCTGTATCTTTTAAATATTTAATAAGTGCTTTAATTATCTTATCTGATTGATGCTTCCCTAATAAATCTGCCATCTTTACTGAACTCCCCATTACCCTTTCCAGTTCTTTCCTCTCTTTTGTATATTTGCTACAATAGATCAACACATGTTCTACTCCTTCGATTTCTCCGCAATAACAACAATTACCCGTTGGATGTTTCCCTATTATTTTTAGACCTGCATTTAAACTAGTATGCCCAATCCTTAACCTGTTTATCCATATTTCCTCTCTTCTACTCATTATACTGTTATATCCTATGCTAATATCTTTATGTATTTTATATAAATGTCTTCCTTTTTTTTCTAAATTCCATCTCTTCTGCCATACCTTATTTATTTTATCTTTAATAATTACTTTTATTTCTGTTCTACTTAGCGGGACATCATATTCAATTTCTCCTACTTTAACTGCTTCTTTAGCTAACTTATCTACTTTTTCATTACCTAAGATTCCTTTGTGTGCTGGAACCCATGTGAATTGAATACTTATATTTTGTTGCCTTATACCATACATTAAATAACTGACTTCATCTAAAAGATCTTGACGGCTTTCAGATTTTCCACTTTTAAAACTAGTCAGGCAAGACATTGAATCTGAACAGATAACTACATTTCTAGGCTTCACCTCCAGCACCCATTGCAATGCTAAAATAATTGCCAACATCTCTGCTGAAAAAATTGATAAATTATCTGTTGTTCTTCTCTTGATAGAAATATTTTCTTTTGGAATATATACTGCTACTCCTGTTTTACCATTTTCCTCTTTTGATGCATCTGTATATATTTGTGTCATATTTTCATACCTTACTTCTAAATGCTGCTGAATAATTTGATACAAACCTCCACAAGACTCTTCTATTTTTTTAGTTTCTAAATTTACTATTGGCATTTCGAAAAACCATGGAGCAATTTTAGATGTACTTACAGTTTTACAGTATGTTATATTACTTATCCCAGAATACTCTGCATAAATATTTCCTTCCCATCCAAAACTCCTTATATTATGGCCATATTCCCAACATTCTCTGAATATCTGTTTCTCCTCTTCTTCTTCTTCTTCTTCTTTTTTTTTTCCAAGCAACTTATTTTGATGCGCGTTACCGCCATCTACTGGAATGGACTGTGGATCGGATCGGGATGCTATATATAAATTCTCCCACAAAACAAAAATAAATAAATAAAATAAAATTATAATAATTAAGTTAGTGAATCTTATATTATTTCTATCAATTTCGTTTTCTTAAGGTAATTCATTCAATAAAAAAAAAACAAAAAAATAAAACATTTAGAAGTATAAAGTTTGTCCAAAAATATTTTTTTTTTTTTGAGGCGTTCTTCTTCTTCTTGTAGAATATTATGACAGCGTTCAAATGACTGTGGGTGCGCTTTACTGCCTGTATCTGGTATGAACTTAGGAATATAACTACAATTGAAATAAAAAAAGCAAATAACCCTTTTAAACTAAAAAAAAATACACACATATATATATAATTTATTAAAGCTTGAGAAATGTCAAATATTGAGTTTCTCTGTAATTATTCAAAGGGATTTGACCTCATTTTAATTTTGTAGAGATTGTTAATCAGCTGAAATCTGTTTTTGGAAGCATACATAGCCTAATTAATATAGTCTATTAACCTAAAGCAATATGCATGGTAGAACTGCAGTCAGTCCCTGGACTGGCATAGCTCTCACTGCCCCTACATAGTTGGGGACAAATGCAAAGGACAAATTTCCCACTGGCATCATTTTCATACAGCTTCTTTGATTGTATTTATTTTGCTCAGGCTACTCATTAGCCCACAGCCCACCTAACCTTGAAAGGGCAATATTATTGCTATTATTGTTAATGTAGGAATTTTAAAATGTCACAGGGGATGGTATGGGGAGATGGTCTTATATGATTTTTATGTTGTTTATTTTTATCTTTGATTTTATTGACCACATGATTTTTATGGTTGATTTTTATCTTTGATTTTATTTGCACTGTGTAGCACTTTGAGATTTTTCTTAATGAAAAGTGCGGTACAAATTGGATTTATTATTATTATTATTATTATAAGAAGGGGGGTGGTTTTTAAGATTTTCTTAGGAAGGGGGATATCATCCCCCTCATTTCGAGTACTGCATTTAAGGTAATAATTAATCCCTTTATCCTCAAATAAAAAAATCAGCTCTTTCTTTCTTCTTCCTATTGTTTTTGTCATTTTATCTCATTCTTAGGCAAATGTTTTACTTCCATCTGTTTGACCTTTATATCTGTTTCAACTAAAATGTGTCTGGTAGCCTCTTTTGCAACGTTATCTGCCATTTCATTCCCTCTAATACTAATATGAGCTATAATCTAAATGTAAATATAACAATCCCATCTTATTAATCCTAAATAATATTCTGTGTATTTCTCTTAAGAAGTCCAGTTTGCTTTTTGACCAAATGTTTACTTAGACAAACTTTATTGTCATTTTGTACACACAGGGTGTATACAGAAGGAAATTTCTTCAGTACAGCTCTGAAACATTTCAATTTCTTAAAGTGCAGCAGTGATAAAATGTAAACATGGTGATCAAATGTAAACATAAGACTGAGATATGATTCATAAGCAACTGTATATATTTCAACATAACCATTATGTTTAATTAATGTATTTTAGAACCATATTTGTATCTAGAAAATCTTAATTTCCTCTCCTGTTTTCTAAAAATTCCAGATCTACCACTGGTTCTGAAAGTAACGATTGACTTATAATTAGCAAAGGTCTGGACTGATTTATCATCCAACCAATTTTTTTTCTCCCTTTCAAAAAATGATTTTAGCACTTCTTGTGATCTTTAGCTGTGTCCACATTTTTGTCATATTGAGAAGTTTCAGATTTTCAAATTAAATTTGATGCAAGACATGGATATGTCCATGAAGATTAAACCCAAAATATAAAAAAAGGATTTTATGCATTAAAGAAAAAAAAAAACTGTCCAAAAAAGTCCAATAAAACATACTTAACATCAGGAGTTAACTGTATTTAACTTAATTATTAAATACACAGAAAATATACAAGACAGCAAAATAGATATGAAGGTCAATGCATTTGATAATCTTAAGATGAAAACAATAGATACTTAAACCGATTGAAAGGTAACAATATCATACCTTAAAAAACAGTAAAAAACAAAAATAAAACCAGCTTATTTTCTTTACTGATGATACAGATATTTCCAGTACATGTGAGATCTTACAGCAACTCCTGGCTCCAGGCTAAAAACAATGATAAAATTAAACAGATTGTCCTTGAATTTTGAGAAAACTAACTTCATGTTATTTGGAAATTATAAAGGACTTTTTTCAATGTTTTTTTTTTGTGTCAAATCCGTTTTTATAAAGCGGGACCATTTTAACTTTTTTGTTGTTGTTTTATTTGTAGAAGGGCGGGTTTTCTCTGCAGAGATGTTGAGAAATTAAAATCAAATGTTTGGATTTGGCAAACATTTGGCAGATTAAGATGTATTTTATTTTCATTCTGCTCTGTGATGGACTGATGCCCCTGTCCAGGATGTACCCCCCCTTGCCCACTCACTGCTTGAAACAGGCTCAAGCACCAGCGACCCCACAATAGATAACTTAATGTTGGAAGAGAGATGGGTAGTTATTTTCTTTATAATAATAAGCTTTTTCTCATAGTAAATATAAACAGAACATGTGACAGGAAGCTTCCTTCTTTAAATTACACACTATTCAAGATGTATTTTTTTTTAAATATATGTATACTCTTCCAAATAATCTAATGTAAAGACTTTATTAGAATTGTGGTAGTTGTAAATCTTTTGTATGTTGTGACTGCAAATTTTAAATATTTGTATTTTCTAAAGAGCTAAAAAGTCTTCTTGAGCTGGGTGTCCTTGCCATCACCCTAAGCTTTGGCTCCCTCTCTCTCGAGGGAGCTAAAGCATATGCATATATGACCATAATATCAACATAATGCACTTCAAAATGTCTACATAGGTAACTTTGCATCCAGAGAAACGTGGTGGTAAAATTAGACACATTTTAATCAGGCTTGTAGCAAATAGCAATATTTAACACAGTTATAGCTGTGCCAAATCTATTATGGTTGACAACTGAATTGATAAACCGGAATCAGAACAAGCTTTATTGCCAAATAGCGTTTTACATGTATGAGACATTTATTTTGGTGGTAAGGTGCTACACAGAGACAAACAAACATGTTATAAATAGTTTTGGAAAATTAAAATTTGGGATAAGAATGGCAATAAATGAGAGTTGTGTGGGAATATTATAAGAATAGAGAGAAAGAGTGCTGTGCCAAATGTTGAAAATATACAATAATAACAACAATATGACATTATATTTACATGTGCTGATAGAAATATACATAGAAACTTGACCTAAAACAGTCACATCAGATTTAAATATATGTTTTTAAGCATATAAACATCTTACAGACTGTTATAGGTAACATAAAAAAAAAAAAAAAGCTTAACCCTTCATAGGGCAGGTAACCGATTCTGATCACTTGCATACCCCTTACAAATGGAGTCTAGAAGCACAAGATCTATATCCAGCCATTCTGCAAAGATACTGCTACATGGTTGTACATCTTATTTTGGCATTTGACCAGTTATATGAGTCTTTGAATGATATATTACCTACTGAAAGTTAACTTGGAAAAAAAAGTTAACAAGTCAAGAAAAAAGGTAAAAAGCTAATTGAAAAGTTGAAAAATAACGTTAAAAAGTTAATAAGCCTAGTTAACAATTATATTTACGTGTATAAACTGAAAAATGTAAGTGCCAGTATCAGCATTAATGCCTCTACAGTTATGTTGTACCAATAGAAATGTGTTTCTTTAACTCTCAGTGTTTTTCATGATTTCATGAAGCACTTTTGTTGTTTTTCTTAATTCGGACAAGTTGGCGTTTCTTGTTATTACATAGATATACATTTTTGCCATCAAAGGTCTTGTCCTGGATTCCAATAACACTATTGGTTTGGGCACTGAAAAAAATTGAAATCTAGATAAGTCATTTTTTTCCTTAAAATAAGTGCATTTGTTCTTGGATTGAGGAGGCAAACGAGACATCTTGCCAATGGAATAAAACAATTTACATTTAAAATAAGAAAACACAATTGCATTGTCTTATTTCAAGTTATCTAATTATCTTAAAATACTAAAAATACTCCCTCCATTGGCATGCTCAAGTGAAGGGTAAACACACTTACTTTAAGACATTTTTACTTATTTCTAGATCGTTTTTTTTCCAGTGAAATTTAGATTTTCAAAGTATTTCACTGAGTGCCCTATAAAGGATTAAACTCAATGCTATAGTGTAAGCAGCCAGGGGGGAAAGGGGTATTCTTCCACTATCTTACCTCATATAAGACAGACCACTGCACTATTTTCCTGTCAGTAAAGAAAAAAACAAAAAAAACAAACAAACTGTAAAATAATTCAAATTAAAATTTTAGATTTACAAAGAAGCTTTCTAATTACTCTAAAAAAAAAGATTAAAAAATATTATCACAAATACACACTTAATAAAAACGAATTTTTACTTACTAGGATTCAGTAAAAAATATTTCTTATGTTGTTTGTGTCAGTCTAGAACAGTGTAAAATAACTGGAGTTGTCGGGAATTTACTAGGACCTCCAAAGAGTGACCTCTACTGTACAAATAAAACCCGTTCATGTCATTTCTCTGACGCATCGGCTGATTTTACGGCGGTGAGCCGCTGCTGCTTCTTACACAATGGCCATTTCCGCCAGTTGGACTCGCTGCTCTCGACCGCGTTGAGCTGCCTGTGTTTCTATGTTTACAATTTCTTTGGTCCAAACGACCCTTTTCCGTTATAAATCGTGTATATATGTCGACCGTGCGTCAGATAGTGAAATAGGTTTCATTTCGAAGAGGTATAGGTTTATTTTTGATTCTTTTAAAGTGTGAAAATCCAGCTTGAGGCCCAGCTCGGAGAGCTCGAGCGGAGCACAGCTCCGAAAAGTTTGTTGTTGTCACGTGACGCGGGACGAATGTGGCGATAAAAAAAGTTTGTTTAGATAGTAAAACTAGGCGGCGTTTTACGTTTTTTTCTTTTGTTGTTGTTTTTTTTCCCGACCCCAAACACAGCTTCAACCATAATGCCTCAACCTAAATACAGAAAGATCGCAGTCATAGGTTACCGGTCCGTAGGTAAGTATAGCTGATATCGGCGAGCTAACATGCTAATATCATGGCTTTGTTTTCCTTTTGAGAGTAACTACCAGTCAGCACTAAAATTTGGCCGGTGTATTTAAACTCTCTTATATGTTTCCCCTTTCGCACATGCTTAAGAGAAGCAGCAGATAACAAAAACAGTTCGCTAAATAATTGAAAACATATGCTACAATGTGAGCAAGTAAATGTTAGCTCAGCAGGTGTTACCAAGAAGCCTTTCGCTCTTGATTTCAACCATAACCTACCTGTAGTTTTTCCGTTTAGTTTAAGGTAAAACACATTTTACCCCGTATACTAGTTCTTTATTTTCAGTAGTATTCTCTGCTTCTTCATTTTCATTCATTTCATTGCAGCACATTGTCAGGCTAAATGTTTGTTTACTGTTTAAATATGCACAGGGTTCTTATGTAACACCATTTTATCTGACTGCTCCAGCTTAAAATGGTGCATTAAATTAGTTTCTCTTTAAGAATTTATTTGGAGTTTTCAAAAATCGTGTAATTTTATCAAACACTAACTCTTTATTCTACAAATCTCAACATCCATTCCTTTCACCCACTGCTGGAGTTACCCAATCTATATTTCAGTGTTTTTCTTTGTAAAGCTAGAGTCATTCTGCACACATTGGTCATTTTGTGAGTGAATTGCCACATCGACACAGAGACAAAACTGGCTGTTCTGGCACTGAAGGCATTCTTTAATTAAATCTGAGTCACTGTAAAGAAAATCCTCAGCTAAAATTACCAGCGAAGAGGTTCATTTGGAAAATACTTAATTCATACTATTGATATCAAGATGGCCACAACATATATCCAATGTTGAGCTTAATTGTTTTGCAAGATTTTATAATACATTTGTAATCTGTGGCTTATCCCGGCCGTTATTCTGTTAGCAGTAAGCTAAAAATGAAACAAATTCTTGAACCAGATTGTTTGTGAGGACAAAAACTGATATTAAACAAAACTACTAAAGAAGATCAGTTATTTTTTTTGCATTTTAAAATCCTCTAACAATGCGCTGTGTTTATCTCACAGGGAAGTCCTCTCTTACAATACAGTTTGTTGAAGGGCAGTTTGTCGACTCGTACGACCCAACCATTGAAAACAGTAAGTGACGTTATATTCACTCAGCTTTGTGATCTTGCATGTGCTGGTGTCCCTGGCTTGAAGTAAAAAAAAAGTGAAAAACCTGTTCTATTTGTTTTCAGCTTTTAACAAAATGGTCAACGTGAACGGTCAGGACTTCAATCTGCAGCTGGTCGACACAGCTGGACAAGTACGTCGCCTGTTTACTGTCATAATTTAGAGGAGCGATTTAATATTGTTTCAAACAATATGCTTTTTTTGCCTTAAGATAATGTTCTTTTTAAACAGTTTACCATAATAGTGATTTCTTTATTTTTTTCAAGACACTTTTTGCTATATAATGTAATGGAAATGCTTATTCACTCTCTATAGGATGAATACTCAATTTTTCCTCAATCCCACTCAATGGACATCCATGGCTATGTACTCGTCTATTCAGTGACTTCCATGAAAAGGTCAGTGGAGGATTTTATAGTTACCTTTATGTCAATAATGAACCTGACATTAAACCATCTTGAAATGATAATTTTTAAGAAGGATTTTTTTTTTTAGGTTGTATTCAAACTACAATCAAAAAGGGGTTCATGTGCAAACTGTAGACTGTATTCTAGTGTACTCTATTATATTCCAAATTATAGTTTTTCATGTAGATATACTTGCCAAATTAGGGTCGACTCTTAGCAGTTTAATTTAAAAGATGAATGACTTATTATTTCATTTTTATTTTTACTTTTTTGGAATGACTATGACCTGAATAACTGAGAATCTTCACCAGCTCACAGGGAAAAGCTTTATTGCTTTTCATTTATATATACAGGTAACACAGTTAATTTGTTCAAAATATTTATATCTAAGGAAAAACCAGCTGATTGCGAGGACTCGTTGACTCTCTATGTAGAGACGGTGGAGAGGAAAACTTCCCTTTATCAGGAAGAAACCTCCAGCAGAACCAGGCTCAGTGTGAGCAGCCATCTGTCGAGACCGACTTGGGTTTTAGGAGATGGAGGCTTGAATGCTGAGAATTGAGATTCGCTCGGACAAGGATTAGCGTAGCCTTTCCCCCGGAGCCCAGACACTGGTAGAGAATAGTCTAAAAATGAAGGATGAGATGGGGCAGATGTGGGTGAAAGTTCCCTTGCGTAGAGGAGAGATAAGCTAGGTTGGTGGGAGCTAAATAAAGGGGGATCTTGAAAGATGATCGGCTTCAGAGAAGGTGCAGCCCCAAGTTGATTGGCTGAAGCTGAACAAGGGACATTGCAGGTGGTTCAGGCAAAGCCTATAAGAGTCTTGGAGATCGAATTTTCTCTTTAAGTTTCCTACCAAGTTAATCTCTCCATTTATTTTGAAATCTGTTAAGGGGGGGGGGGGTGAACAAAATTATAAAAAGGTTTCTTAATCTATATTTTTCTTTTAGATATTGCCTCTAAATGTTCACCACATGATGGTATCATAGGCATTCAGCCTTTTCAGCGTTTAAATGCAGTTAGTTGATTTGCAACAGGCTCACTATCAGACTCATTTGGTAGGAATATGTTCAAACAGGGACCGAGGCAATTCAGCTTTGAAACAAAGAGGCATTTCTGGTTTTGTTCATTTTCGTAACAAAAAAAAAAAAATTGTTATATTAGGAATTTATATACAATCAAATTTTTATATATCCTTATTTTATACTGGTTAGTTTTTGTCTTTAAGTACGTACAAATGTTGCAGTACATGACCCTGCATCAAACTGACAACACCAAACCAAAACACTGCATAATTGCACCATATATTTTTAATGCTCTGAACTTCCATATCAATTTTTTTTGGACCTCCTTTTTTTCTCCCACACTGTTTACATTTAAACATTGCTGTACTTTAAGAAATGGAAATGTCATGAAAGCTGTACAAAATGAAATTTCGCTTTGTATAAACTCTGTGTACACAAAATGACGATAAAAGTTGACCATGGATATATAAAAAAACAGTTTTGCTAACCAGACAAAAACAGACGTACCTTGGATCTGTTTCAGCTGAGATGTTCCCCCTGACAGCTGCAGTTTGTCATCATTGTTTTGATGTCATGATCTTTATCAACCATAAATATGATCCATCTTGTTTTTACATGTATGGGTAGGTACATGACACTGGTAGTGGGTCTGATATGTTTGCATCCCTATTTCTGGTTGTGAGCAGAAAAATGCTTCTTACAATCGCACAGCCAGTGTTTTGTGTGCTTGTATAGGGAGTGTTGGTATAGTGGTTAGAGCAGTGTGCTTGTGCTCTGAGAAGGTTGCTTTTTATGGTATCTTCATGAATATTTAGATGAGCTGTGCGCTGATTGGTTGGTTTACAATGAGCGGGCACACCGGGCATTCGAACCTAGCCGTCAGCTCCGGGGTTGGTCCGGGAACCCCGGCGGACGAGGGCAGGGAGCCAGCGGGGGACGGAGCGACCGAACCCGCCCCGGTGTAGGTAGCCTGAACAAAGGCCTGAACATGCTTCCCCTCGCCTGCCTTACCGGCCCCCAGCCCCCCTCCCCCGGCTGACGACGAGCGGTTCATGGCTCTCTGCTAATGTCTGGTCCAGTCAGCGGCCCAAGTTTAGAATTGTGTGTAGAATTGCGGAGAAAGGAGGTGTTGATGGGGTTTCAACATCTCGGTTTTGCATTCTATGACCCCTTTAATAAGTTTTGATCAACAAAATTTTTAAACACTAGGTTATTTTTACAAGTCATAACAAGACACAATTGCTGTCCAACCTGTGGTTTCTAGAAGTTAAACAGCAGTTGAAATGTTGAAGTGATGCCAATATTGTGCTTAAAAAGTTGATTACTAATTTCAGAGCAATGCTCAAAATAATAATTCCTTTCTTTGTCCAGTTTTGAAGTTGTGCAGGTTTTACATGACAAGCTGCTAGACATGGTTGGGAAGATTCAGTAAGTCCCTTCAAAATCAATTCATCATACCGATATATATATATATTTGTTTATGTGTGTAACTTTCATTTAAACTGTTACTTTTCAGGGTTCCAACCGTTCTTGTAGGAAACAAAAAGGATCTTCACATGGAAAGGTGGGTTTTAAAGTGATTGTCTAGGGTACGATGCAGCTATTATCAGCATGTCTTGAAAAACTTTCTTCAGAATGTTCCCAACATGACAGGATTTTTGTATTTATTGACCAATATAGTCGGTTGAACTTAAACAAATTAAAATTTCTCAACATCAAATGTTAGGAGCAGATTTGAAAGCCCAAACATTCTAATGCTAAAGTTACTGTATTCTTGAAAAGTCCTTAAACAAATGCATTATTGCCATCTTGTGGTAGACATAATGCATTAAAATCAAACCTTGGTTTGAAAAATCTTTTAGCAAAATAGTTTTTTTATTTATATATTTTCTTCGTTTAGAGTATTTATGTGTTAGGTCGCTGTAATTAAGGCACCTAAAATGCTTAAATAGACAAATTTGTTTTCTTTAATCCTTGATGAAGGGCTTTAGGAGTGCTACTTAATTTGTTTGTTATTGTTAGTATCCAGACAGTTTTTTTCTTTGGCCCAGCTATTTGATAAAAATGTGAGTTTGAAAGACTAAAAATGGTTTTAATGCTTTCATTTATTTATTTTTTAATCAATGTTAGGGGTTCCTATCCTTTTTGAACCCTTGCCCTGGAGTGATATATATATATATATATATATATATATATATATATATATATATATATATATATATATATATATATATATATATATATATATATATATATATATATATATATATATATGCAAGATATTTCCTCACTTCTATTATGTGCTGTGTCTATAAACTTCAAGGGTTATCAAACCAGAGGAGGGAAAAAAACTAGCTGATTCCTGGGGAGCTGCCTTCATGGAGTCCTCCGCCAAAGAAAATGAGGTAACAAGCCCTCAAAAATCAAACTCCAGATATAATTTAATTGCTGCAGTCTGCAAACGATGTCTGACAAAGATCTTTTTAACACAGACTGCCGTGGAGGTTTTCAAGCGAATCATTTTGGAGATGGAAAAGGCTGACGGGAATGCACCGCCAGAGGAAAAGAAGTGTTCCGTGATGTAAAGTGTTCTGCAGGACACCAGTGAGCTGATTTACTGAAGACATCAGGCACAACTTCACCAACTTGCTAGCTGTGGCCTCATGGATGCCAGGATGCAGCAGAAGAATGTTTGCTCTCCCCTGAGAATTCCGATTTATATCCATAGCCAAGCAGCTGTCCAAAACATCCCACATTTTGGTCCATTATTTCAGCTGATAATTTTCACAGATGCAATCTACGTTCACATTGCTTAAAATGTGTCATAAAAGAGGAATTCCCTCAGTACTCTGGGAGGATATTCAACGGATGAAATCTCACTGAGTTTTTTTTTTTTAGTTTTCACTGTAATCTCTATCTACTCATCTTCAGGTACCTTTCACTCCCGAACTGTGGTTGTGTCGCCATGACATGATTCCATAATTGTATATTTTTTTACTCATTACCAAGATCCATACATACATGCCTTTTATCTGTAGTAACTATTGCTTCCCATTCAGCGTAATAAATACTCCCAACTTCTACTTGTAGATGGAGAGGATATTTGCTAATAAGTTATGCCCTTTATATACAGAATATGTACAATCTTAAGTTTCAGTTTTTGAAATGCATTTTAGTATTACAAAATACTATGAAGGAGGCCACAGAGTTAATATGGTAATTTTTTAAATTGTTGACATGCTTAATAAAAACCCAACCTTAGTGCCTGTAGCTGTTCTGACAAACGGTCACTGTCAAACACTTGAAATCCGATGGTTTTGTCTTGCTTTTTAAACCTTTAGCCTAATGTACAGTAGTTTCTTTCTCTGAAAGCCTTTCATTGTAGCTGTAGTGGATACTTCTAACTTCTTAAAATGCTTTGCATACATAGTTAAATGATGGGTAACTGATGGTAGTTGAGCAAAGGCTGGTGATGCTGTGTCTTGTGCCTTACAGATGTTCAAACTACTGCATCTGCTTCCTTTCCTTGACTCAAGGTGCTCTTAAGTTTAGTTAGTGTTTTTTTTTTTTCTCTCCCTTTCTTTTCTTCCTTCTATTGACTTGACGCAATAGGTGCAGGTGTTGTACACCTGAACAGGAGTATTCCCCTGTGGGTCAGTGGTAATTCAGAAATCATGCTGTAAACTGTTTTGTAAATAAACAAACCTGTCACTTGTTCGAGGTCTCTGATTTATTAAGAATAATAAAATGTATTTTTATGAAAATGGAATTAATATAGTAACAATCTAGACTTTGCCTAATATTCTGAAATAATTATTTAGATTTACTAGCGTAAGTCTAGGATCTAAGTAAAAGATGTGGCAGTTAAAGAGTATGTGTGATGATTTCCAATTAATTCACAGATGAAGGTAAACACCATGCTGTTTGGAGAAGAGATGGGTCTTTTTACCCCACAGATGAACATACTTTGTTGGAAATGTGTATTAGCCTAAAGTGGAGAAAGGCAAAACAAAAACATGAGCAGAAACGTGGCTTCGAGAAGAAGGAGCCCTTACTCGTGCACCAGGGCCCTAATTTTTTTGGAAACATGCCCTGGAGTGTAGTATAAGAATGTGATTATTAGATCATGGAAGGTGAAAACCTGCAAGTTTTTAAGAGACATCCCATCCTGCTGTGGAAAGTAACCAATGCACCTCAGTCATTACAACAGAACATTGTTGAAATCTTAAACATTTTAAGACAGAATATGAAGCTATGGCCAAAATGTTTCTTTATTATTGAAAGTATGCTAAAACATACTTGCAAATGAGTTAAAAACAGGTGAATAAGTGCTTCCGTGTGGCCTTCATTAAACTCCCATAAAACAAGTACCGGTACATCAGTTAAAGTGGCTGACCAGTACCTTACAAGAAAGATAACCAAAATGTCTGCTTTGTGGTAAAACGCAGTTTAAAAAAGTAAATAATGCAAGAAACATGTTTATAAAAGTCTCTTGAAATATTCTCTCATCATTCTGGCATATATTCTATGCTAATAATTTTGTTATTTGACCTGATAATCAAAAATGTGTCATATTTAAGTCATGGAGGATAAATCTTATTTTATACAGCTTAAATTAGCTTTTTGCTTCAGCAGTAATTTAATTGTTTATTGTTACATACCATAGTTGCAACAATTTTGTTAACCCACTGATGAGAAATTTTGAAGTTCGTTGATATATTACCATTTCTAAAGCAATATCCGTTGCGTGAATACCACGTATATTACGGTAACAGCTCGCTCCGCATTACAGCGGAAGGCGCTTTGAGTGGCTTTGTGGGATCAGTTCGTAGACCGGGTGGAACATGGAGTGTGTAAGTTTATCTATTTTGACGGGTTTTCTTCTTTCGAAAACATTATCAAGCAACCCGACCACTCGGATATATAATTTTTTAGCTTTACGCTAAATTGCGAACAGCTAGCCAGCTTTTTATTAGATGTTTCAACAATAATCTCTGCCATGAAGGTTAGGAAAGCTTATAAGAGAGGTCAATTTTTAGAAAAAATAAAAGACAATTTTCAACACTAATTTCAGCCTAATGATATGTAGAGTTTATTAAAAGCTTGAGAATAAATAAGTCACCTCGACTGGGGGTTTTTAAAGTCAACCAACTGTTATGCTAGCTAGCTAACAAGCTAACACCGATGCTATTGTTGTTAACAGAACTATCTTTATTTAGTTTGTATACCGCTTTAAAAAAAAACGGCATTGTTGGTTTTACATAGGATGGTTATAGATTAAACTGTTGCTTGCGACACCAGTTTGATGTTTAACCAGTTTGCTGACTGCCTTTGTGAGTTTTACAGCACAGTTAGCCGCATCCCTCCAGCTCTAACGCTGGGAAGTTCTTGTTTATCTGTCATTCCCAACCCGGGTTCTATTACTCCAGGAAATCACTTGAAGTATTAACTTAACCTGTGAAAACATTATTTGGCTAATCGGTAAACGCTAGTTTAAGATGGAGAGCCTGTTTACTATTAACCAAAAATCAATAGTTCAGCAAAGCTGAGGATTCTCTTTAGTTTTAAAGCTAAACTTATTTCTAGAAGGAATCTTTAAAGTAAATGCAACCATATCCTTCCATAAGCAAATGTCTTCAAAATTAATAATTTCATCAAGGCAAATGTATGGTATTTAAAGTCTAAAGTTTTCCCTCGAAAACAGCACTGATAACCTTAGATGTACTCTCAATACGGGCGGATAAATATGACAGTGTATTGGGAAAGATTAGACTGTGTTGATCTGGTAGAACAGAGATTAAGACATTGTTTTTCGCTCTACCAAAGACCAGATCACTAATGTTATCATCCCTTTCCTATGACTTCTTAACATCGCTTTTGTGTTTAAAGTTTACCTTTTTTTAATGTTGTTTTTCTTTTAGATTGAAATAATTGTTCACTATAACCACTTATTTTCAGGCAAGGAATTACAGCATAAGAGGCAGATGGGATATTTTTTTTTGAGCTAGCTTGCTTTGAACAGAGGTACACCAGAGAGACAAAGTCCTACAGTTTATAATTAAGTGGGACTTGATTTCGTTGTACTGCATTTGTTTAATGTTATGTTCTATCTGTTGATTCTGCTGTGTCATTAGGAGGTCAAGAAGTAGAAATACAGTAAACAGTACCTATCCTGTATCTTTCCACTGGACGTAACTTACCTGATTTTACCCTAAATGAATTATATTTTGAAAGTTTCTTTCATCTGAAACCGTTATTGTGTGATTGTTGCATGTTGTATAGTAATTTTTTTAACTTGTTAATTGAAACACTAGAAATTGCATATAACTTTATGTGTTGTGTAACATTTTGAAATGTTAAACCAAATGTTACAATGATTAGTAGCAAGTAGATACTTGCTAAGTTACTCAGTATTGATCAGGCAGTTTAACAAATACAGGTACTTTTTCACTCTTACTTGTTGCTTTTACTTGAGTAAAAATACAATCAAGTAGTGCTACTCTTATATGAGTAAAATGTTTTCTAACCAACTTTAGGATAACATATGTCAATCAAATCTTGAATCTGTCAGTCAATGCACATTGAACCATTAACTTTGAATCAGTTTTTTTTTTAAATCAGCAATATCTTTATTTATTTAATAACAATTCAACAAAGAACAAGAAACAAATAATGAACGATTCTGGCATCAGTATTCTTTGGCCACCAGTACAGTACGAACATCAATTTGTTATTTTCACATACATAATGCATACATGCAACTTTACCAAAATCTGTTAGACATCAAGAGTTTTTGTACGTATATTTTTATTATTTAGAGTTAGAAACAGCAAAGCCTTACAGAGGTATTTCATCTTCAACATCTACTAGATTTAAATCCTTTGCCTATTTGACAAAGAGTCCCCAAAGGTTTTCAAATGCCTGCTAACTAACCAATAATATATAAAATGATCCCTCCATTGGTAAATGTAAAAGCATTTGTTTAATCAAATCTACAACAGTTGGAGCCAAAATTTTCCTCACCTGGTATGTTGTTATCACACAACAAGCTAAAGTTAACAATTTTATTGAGTATTTTTTTCCCCTGGATATACATACAAAAAGAAAGAAATTCAGCTTCTTTTAATTTTGGGGGCTTAAATATTTTTTCTTTAAAGGAAAAGTCACGTCACATTCAGAATACAAACTTCTAAAAGTACTTAAAATATGAAATTATAACATGCTTTCAATGAATGATGCGTTTTTTTTTTTTTTTTAATTAAGAGCAATTTCATTTGAATATGCTTTACTGGAGACATCCATGTTTGTCAAAAAGCACTGCTGCCACCTACCAGTTACATCACGTTGCGGTATCGGCTGTTGAGCAAGTCCCAGTGCTATACCTGGTGTTTGTCACAACGCGCTATTATCCATCATGGCGACGACCAGTGCACTATGCGAAGCAGAGATTAACGGATTAATGACGTGTTTTATCTGTAGCCAGAAGTTTGATGACAAATCCTCCCTCTTCAAGTTGGCAATCTAATGATGAACCCGTGATGGATAATGAATAGGAAAGGTGAAATAACAAATTTTTTCCCCCCATTTTTACCTGATATTTTACAACCTCCAACTTCCATGTAGGCTTACCGCACCCCAACGTCACTGCCGGAAGATGTAAGGATTGAGGTATTACTATCTTTTGGCAAAAATGTCCGGTCCTGGAATTAGTGATCGCGATGAAAAACATTGTTTTAATTTTTTGGCAGATTAAAGCTAAATTAATGAAATCACAGCAAATATATTAGTTTTATGCTACATTCACACCGGACGCAGCAAAAGCAGCAAAATCGCGTCTCCTGCTTCGTTTTTGCTGCTTGTACCAGTTAGTTCTGACGCGCGGCTGAAGCAGCCTTGCTGCTCTCGCTGCGCGGTCCAAAAGTGGGTCTGACGCACGCTGGGCGGAGCTTTACTGTCCTTTCTTTGCCTTGCAGCTATATTTGCTGTGATCAGTGGGAATAAAGTAGTTTTAATATGTTTTTAAGTGAGAAAATACACCTGAAAACTTCATCAGTGCAGTCAGTTCATCCAGAGTACAATCCTGCCTCCCAATGTTATTTCTGTCGGAGCTGCTCAGACCCCCACATACCAGCGGTGCGCTGTCAGTAGGAATCCCTTCATCAGCAGCCTCTGGCCGGGTTGCCTCCTCGCAGTTCACCGCGGCGGCTGGTAGGTGTTTTTCATCTAAATAATCCAAACTGCAGGCAGCAGGATAATAAAAGTGAACATATTCTGTCGGCAGGTTTCTGCATTTTAAGTTAATTTATGCGTTAATAAACTGTTTCAGAGGAGCGAGCAGAGCGCTCTGTATCATCAGCGCTGTGTCTCTCTCCCAGCCAGCTCCCAGATCATTTTCTGTGATTGGATGATGCGGCGCGTTGAGCAGCAAAAATTCAATTTTTCCATCTCGAGCAGCAGCGCGTTTGCGGCGCGTCACGCACGTCAGATGCTTAAACGCGCCCGACGCGCTGCTTCAGCTGCTTAGACGCGCTGCGCCTGCTGCTCAAAATGTGCCGCGGGACCTTTTGCTGCGCGTCAACCATTGACTTTACATGTAAACTCGCTGCTTCCGTCGCGCCAGCTGCGTCCGGTGTGAACGCAGCATAAGGTATACATAATGACCTAATGGTTATTCCTTGCTGGACTTTTCCTTTAAGAGCAACTGCTCTTGTGGCCAAACTGATCTAAAAGAATAATTTAGATTTTGTAGGTAACTTATTATTTGCTGTTTTTGTGATACTGTAAATAACAACATATGCAAAAGTGGAGTTAAATTATTGTTGAGAGTTGAGTTTTCTCTCTTGTGTTTATGCAGTCGTAACGATGTTGCTGCTGCTAATCCGTTTTAAGCTTAAGCATCTCATTTACTAAAATTGGTATCAGCTGTGAGTATCAAGGGCAGTGAAAGTCTGTTCTACCAGATACATGTATTACAGTATTGTCTAAGTATAGACAATGTTAATGAGTAGAAGTAAATATAGTATTATTAAACTGTTCTTAGAGTTAGTCTTCTACAGTATTGGGTATAACTTTTGGAAAGGATGTAATTATTATCAGAAAGTCTTTATGTTTAGATTTTGTTTAGAAATTGTTGCCCTTACAATAAATAAATAAAAATAGCATAAACTTAAAAAAAATAACACAAAAGGAAGTGGTTTTATCAACAATCATTTGTCTATAAAATGACATGAAAACTGTTTTGTGGATTCATCACCTCTGTAAATGTTACATTACGCTGCTCTTTATGTAAAACTTGTAGGTTGGTCGCAGTTTATCACAACAGTCTTCTCATTTGAAAAACCCATAATAAATGAAATTGAATGTGTTTAACTAGAGGTTAATGCCTGGAGAAGTATTATAATGTAAAAATGTAATTAACCTGACCCTCTACACCTTTCTATATCACTTTATCTTGATGTCGTTCAAAGTATTACTTTGTATTGAAGTGGGTGTCCTAGATAATCACTGGCTTCAGTGTGAATCACTACCTAATGCTGAGGTTACTGTTGTAAAACATCCTGCATATACACAGCTTTATTTTTTGTGAGTGTAGCTGATGAAAACAAAAAAGAAATCAGCTTGTGTCTTTGTCCTGCTATGAAAAGCTGTTGGAAATTAATTTGGTTTCTATAGACGGATGACTTCTGATGATATCTGGTAAAGCTATTCAGTTTATAACAGCTTAAGACCACCATCTAAAAATAGTTGAAATGGCCTCTAATCGTTTAAATCCTAACAATAATGATCATTTTCTTTCAGATTCCTGTACCCATTGATGACCTTGAAAGCAAAAAGGACCCAATAACTGAAGGTATGAGGATTGTGTAAAAATATTAATACCTTAATCCGAACCTGTTTACTAAAGTGATTCTTCATCATGATCCCTCTTGTCTCCTTAGAACGAGAGCAAAATGTTTACACCAGGTTTATGAAGTCCCACCGTTGTTATGACCTCGTGCCCACTAGCTCCAAACTAGTGGTGTTTGATACGTCACTCCAGGTAAAACAAATACATTCTCTTCATATGTGTATTCTTCTGTTCAGACATTTGAGCTGTGTTTTTGAACTATCTTGCAGGTGAAGAAGGCGTTCTTTGCTCTTGTTTCCAACGGAGTGAGGGCAGCCCCTCTTTGGGACAGCAAGAAGCAGTGCTTTGTGGGTAAGAGCAATTTTCATAATCTTCTGTTAGATAGCAGTAGTAAAATGAAAGGACTGAAGAAAACCCAATTGTGTTTACCATTATAACATTAATGAATGTTTCACTGTGCTTTAAAAACAATTCACAGGTATGCTAACCATCACAGACTTTATTAACATTCTTCATCGCTATTACAAGTCTCCATTGGTAAGCTGGGTCCTTTAATACCTGAAGTATGCATCCTAAATATAAATTGTTGCTAAAATCTTTACCTTTTTATATTTCAGGTTCAGATATATGAGTTGGAAGAGCACAAAATTGAAACATGGAGGGGTGAGAACATTTAAAGTTTACCCAGACGTGACCATTTATCATTTAAAGGACTGGTCTTTATGACCAGTTGAGGCACACTTGCCTGTCCTCTTTCTGCTTGCAAGCTGTCTGCCAGGTCTGCTAATGCTAATGGTTAGCATTGGCAAATATTTAGCTTGACAGTCCAGAAGGAAAGGGGGGACCTCTGAGTGGCTCCTGAGCCCCTTTGGGTCCTTATGTCAGCATCAACTCTCAAAAAAGTGACTGACGTTCGTCGGTTTTTTGCCTAATTTTTGTTTGTTTTGTCTTAAATCTGAGAAAAGTAACGCTGAGAAGCCATTTCGAAAAGGCTGTCACAGCTCTACTATAGAATGTTGTAACGCCTAGGCCAGGGGTCGGCAACCCAAACTGCTCAAAGAGCCATATTGGACCAAAAAAACAAAAATGTAAAAGTCGTATATATGCCTCGTATGGCAACACGGGCTCCAAGTGTATTATCCCACTATGTTGGCTTAAATATATAATAAGCATTCATGATTAAATGTTTATCCTGGAGCCAATGTCACATAGCAGCATGAGGTGAGGGAGGACCATTGAACACTCGCCATGCGCTGCTTCACCACCCTTCACTGCACGGTGATAAAAGTTTTGTTGCATCGATGAAATTATAGAAACACAATAAAGTAATTTTTCTATGGTGGGCATGTTTCTGTTGGGAGGAATTGATTGAGTTATGAGGAACCAAGCAGGAACTGACATCCATCAGAGCAGTGCTCTCTAACCCTGAAATCCCACATCCAGTGTTCCTTGGTGTGATTTATATTTTTTTGGTTTTGGGGAAAAATAGAAGAAAGTTTACATACCTGTATCAAAGCGCTACCTGTTTGATCTGTGGGCAGTTTTCCATCCTTGCAACAAAACTAGCAGCAGTAGTGGAGTTTGGAGATGCAATCCACTTCTTAAATCTATCTTTGCTCTCCTCTAATTTATCCAGAAATTCTGCAATCGTGCTTTTTCTCTCCCTCGCAGCTTGGTGGTCAGCTGCATATTTAGCATTCTTTCCCTGGAAATGCCTTTTCAAATTTTGCTTCTTATTTTATGACAACCTCTCATTACAAAGCAAAAATGCAGGCAATCCTTCCACATTGATAATGAAAGCAAATGATTCGCTCCATTCTTTGAATTCCCCTTTGGGATGCATGGTCTGAGACACACCTGCAGGTTTGTTTACCTGGCACCACGCCACGCTGGTTGCAATTTATGACCACTGATCTCTAAGGCTATGACGCAAATTATTGTTTAAATTTATTTATTATACAAATGTCTACAGCATTGGAAAACATAATAATTTTTTGTTTAACCTCCTGCACACCATATAAAAAAAAAACAAAACTGATTTTCATAAATTTTTGAAAAAGCTCCAGGGAGCCTCAAGGAGGACACTAAAGACCCGGCCTAGGCTCATGACTGTTCCTATTGGTGCAGAATCATTTTATAAATATTGGCACACTAACCAACTTTTTTTAAATATATTTTGGACCCATCAAAATTTATGAAACAATTATTGTTTAATTTTTTTTTTATTCAATTCAAATAATACTTTTATTCTGCATCATTTTAAATTATCTGTCAAAGTCTTATATTAGAAAAATGATTCAGTTTGAGAAGAAACGTTGCAGCTATGACCTTTAACTAGTTGTGTTTTATGTTATTTTTCGTTCTTTCTTATTTTAGAGGTTTACCTTCAAGACTCTTTCAAGCCTTTGGTCTGCATATCTCCCAATGCAAGGTCAGTGGTTATTATACATTGTTTTACTGTCAGATGGACATTTTAAATCAGAGTCAACAATGTCATCATTCTATAGACTTAAATTAAATTATGTTTAACCCCATTTTAATTAAGTGAAATGCTATTTAAATATGATTTTGATAACCACAACCGCAAACTAATTACATTTTTTTTTAACAAAGATGCAAATGGTTCGCAAACTAGCAGAGTTCCTTTTGATTGATTGATTAACTTTATTGATCTCGTAGTAGTGAAATTTACTTGTTTCATCAGCTTAAATAGTCAAATGAGAAGGAGAATGTAACAAAGGAAGAAAAAGGTGCATGGGATATATACAATATATACAGTGCGTCCACATATGACAGCTTTTTTTTTTATAGTAGGATTATTATACAGGGTTATTGCACAGGGTGTTTACATGGGTATTTATATAGATGCATATTTATATATATAGTTATTGCCTGGGTGTTAGATATAGAGAAACAGGTTATTGCACAGGGTATCAAATAGTAATTGCACAATGTACATTGCGCATGTTATTGGTGTTGTAGTGTCGCATTGTAGAGTCTGGTTGCAGCAGGGATGAATGACCTGCGGTAGCGCATCTTTTTTACAGACAGCTTGTAAAAGTCTTTCACTAAAGGAGCTGCTCAGCTCCTCTACAGTCTAGTGCAGAGGATGGAAAGTGTTGTCCATGATGGACGTAAGCTTGAACAGCACCCTCCTCTCAGCCACATCCTCCACTGAGTCCAGAGTGCAGCCTAGGACAGAAGCAGCCTTTCTCACCAGTTTGTTCAGTCTCTTTCCGTCCCGCTCTGCACTGCCAGGGGCCCAGCAGACAAACATTTGCTACTAACATTTTCCAAATGCTTCTAGCAACATTCAGTCTCCATGAGTTGGAATAACTTGGTTCCTTTTTTTCTTATTATATCTCAGTTTGTATGATGCAGTATCATCTCTGCTGAGGAACAAGATCCACAGACTGCCTGTAATCGACCCCCTGACAGGAAACACACTATATATCCTCACACACAAGAGGATTCTTAAGTTCCTGAAGCTTTTTGTAAGTTCCCATCATTTAATACAGATGTAATACAATAATAAACAATACTAAAAGAATAAAGAATATATAATACTTGCAAACACACATAGATGTTTTTGTAAAAGAACTGTGTTAATTTTATTTGAACATTTTCTTGTGTTTTTTAACCTAATCCTGTTGAACTGGAAAAGGATTATATATATAAACCATTAAACACATGTATAGACAAAATTATTTCTATTGTGAAGACCCACAAAATGTACACAGGAAAAAAATATTTCTTATATACTAGCTTTTATTTTATTTTGCTTTTTATTTGTGACCTCACAGTGCAAATCTGCAGCTAGACTATGTTGGACAGTTTTTAAAACAGTCTGAGCATAGGATATTGGTAATTAGAACCACTGATATTAAATCGACATTCCCTTATGTATTCCTAAGAGAACATGAAAAAAACAAAAAACTTTCTTTTACTTAGTTCAACCTTCCTTAGCTGCTAAAGCTATGCTTTCACAGTCTCAAAGCTTTAATTACCGTAACCACTGATTTGTCTCGACTGTTTCCCTTTACAAAGCCTATTAAACCTCAGGGCTTCCTCTGGCTTTGTTTTGAATAGCTCCCAGATATTGAATCAAGCAAACTTTGATTGTATTTCTGAGTGTCTGACCAGCTGGTAAATGACCATGGTTTATCTAATTGTGATCACAAGACAAGACTCTCAATACATGTCATCCTAATTTTATGCTTTTATCTATCTAACAAAGTTTGACAACTAAATTTAAAGTAGGCAAAACATTCTGCTTTTGTTGTTTTTTTTCTTGAAAGTGTTACTCCGTTATGTCTTTCATCAAATATTTACTGTTTCCTTTAACCAGATATCTGAGATGCCAAGACCCTCATTTTTGAGTAAAACCTTAGAGGAACTGAACATCGGGACGTTCAGAAACATAGCGGTGGTCCGCGCAGACACACCTCTCTACACGGCGCTGGGTATTTTTGTGGAGCAGCGAGTCTCTGCGCTCCCTGTTGTTGATGATAAAGGTATGAGGATTGGCTGAATTCTTTTTTTTTTTTTGGATTGCTTCGATTTAAAAGCTACATCTTCCTACAGTTTCACATTCTTGTCTCTCTTGCAGGACGAGTGGTGGACATATACTCGAAATTTGATGTTATAGTAAGTTCTCTCCAGTTTTGGAACTATGGAAGTTTTTCATAACTTAGGTTTCTATTGCTGTCTTTCAGCTTCTTTCATCTGTAATATTTAGATTAGTGTAATGTTATTTATATCATGTTATCACAAATGTAAATGCTTCAATGCGCTAATGAAGCGGTTCAGAGGATATTACCATACTAATCATACTTTCAGTCTTCAAGGAATCTTTGCTTCTTAGCCAGTTTCTTCACAATACTTGAATTATTTTGGTATGAGGGAGATGACAGCACTTTCAAAATGCTTAAGATAGAAGGTCATGGATTATGACTGGGAGCATCGGTGTGTGTCGCTGAAGGGTGAGGCAGTGCCCTTTATGCAGCGAGCGCTGTCTGGCATTTCCCCTCAGGGAATGATGAGCTTGCACAGTTAAGAAATCACAATCGGAGTCGCTGACTTAGCATCCCACAAGTCTTGTAAGCTTGCCTGCAAAACAGGACTACAGCCTTTATAAAAGTTCAAGACAGCCTTTAGTTTTATTTTTGATTTTTCCTCTGCTGCATGCAGTTTTTGTTTTCACTGCCAGCCTCTGAATCTTGTTGATGTTTACTGTATTTAAAATTTAAGACTATTTCTTAGAGCATTAAAAAGCATTGAATTAGTTTCTCATTCCTGTATAGACCCTGTTCATGTAGACGCATTTCTGTGAACACGTGTTACACAGGAAAATTATACACAGCACGTTTTTGCTCTGACAGAACCTGGCTGCAGAGAAGACGTACAACAACCTGGATGTGACTGTGACCAAAGCCTTGAAGCACCGCTCACAGTGCTTTGAGGGAGTCCTGACCTGCAACAGGCATGAGACCTTGGAGGCCATCATCAACAGACTGGTGGAGGCTGAGGTGAGGAGTGCAGACAGCATTACCCCATTTTTGGTTATCAGACATTATTTTGATACTATGATTACTAATTCACTGATGACTGCTGTAAAATCATCATTCAGAAATGATGGAAATTATGACATGGTAGTTAAATGACTTCTAGGAAACATGTCCTGTAAACTGACTTTAATAAATATGTGAAATGAAAAGCATGGCAGGGTCTACAACAGACCCCCCCCCCCCCCCCCCCCCCCCCCTACTCTAACCTCTCCCTTTCTGTGGGTAAAGTCAAGCCTGTGATTTATGTGGGAGTCAGTGTAAGCTCTGGACTGTCTGGTGCAATAAAAGCATTTAATTAGTAATAGTGTTTTACTAAAAATTAGATGCTTGGATGCTGTTTCAGTCCAGATAACAGCATTTCTTTTTTCTTATCATGTACCATATAGTCTATTGTAGGGATGCACGATATTGGGATTTTGGCCGATATCCGATATGCCGATATTTTAAAACTCATGTAGCCGATAACCGATACCGATGTTAAAGCTGGACAAAAATAAGTAGTCATTGAAAATAGCAGTTTTGTTATCCATTTCTGACACTTTGAAAAATAATATACTCAAATATTCCGTAAAAATTCAAAAAAATATCCACTGGACTTGGTTTTCAAGATTTGAAGACGTTTCGCCACCTCTCCAGGAAGCTTTCTCAATTCAAATGTCTGGATCCGCAGTGAGTTTGAGTCTTATATAGACAACGCCTTGTATCGCTTGGAAACATGCAATGGTAACCGATGAATGGGTCGTTAGTTCCATCGTTAGCCTGTAATATCTGAACCTGTCTATGATTCTAGGGGTCGGTCGTTAAAGGGGGGGATTGCCATTAAGGGGGGGATTGTCTCCTGTAATACCTGAAACCTGTCTATGATTGTTAAGAGTCGGTCGTTAAGGAGGTATTGTTCACCGGCTGGGGCGGGTTGGTCCCTCGTTCCTCTGTGATGGGGTGGGGGGTTTGGTGATATCTGGAAGGGATCATGTATATGATTGAATTGTATGTTTTTGGAAGCTGGAATCTGAGTCCACCACTTCTGTTTAAAGTTGGTTTTTCTCTCTTAACATAGATGGCTTCCTTCACGCCCCTCTCAAACCACCTATTTTCTTTATCCAGAATATGGACATTCTGGTCCTCAAAAGAATGTCCTTTGTCCATAAGGTGTAGGTGTACTGCGGAGTCTTGTCCAGAGGCGGCTGCTCTTCTGTGTTGGGCCATGCGTCTGTGGAGAGGTTGTTTTGTTTCGCCAATATAAAGATCAGAGCTATGATCTGATCTGGCTCTGATCTTTATATTGGCGAAACAAAACAACCTCATTTGAATTTGAATTGAGACATTTGAATTGAGAAAGCTTCCTGGAGAGGTGGCGAAACGTCTTCAAATCTTGAAAACCAAGTCCAGTGGATATTTTTTGAATTTTTACGGAATGACTATGACCTGGATGACTGAGAACCTTCATCAGTATACTCAAATATATTTTCATATGCTGATACCAAATTGATTTTTAAAAACGCGGTATCGATCTGTTTTACTTTCAAAATCTCGTGAAAAGTCATCGTTCTGTTACAAACTCTCGTGATATTTTGCAAATTCTTGTGAGATTTTGTTAGTAAAATAGATCGATACCGCGTCAATATATCAACATATAAAAATATGGCAAAATTTCGTGGATTTTCGGGGGATTTCGTAGCATAACGATGAAATATAGCAATATTTCATTAGTAAAAGAGATTGATATGGGGTTTTTAAATGGCAATATATCAGCATATGAAGATATTGGGATATTTTAATGTATCAATATTTTTTCCCTCGTCTTTAGAAGTTTTTAAGTCTGTAAAAAAGAAGTTTTTGAGGAAGGAGAAGAAGTAGTATTTTTTTTTTTTTTAGACTTTAGAAACTCAGAAGCTGATCAAATATCGGGTTAAATATCGGTGGGGTGGCCGATGTCCGATTATCAGTTTTAATGCCGATACAGGCCGATACCGATAGGGGGCCGATTATATCGTGCATCCCTAGTCTATTGAAATTGTTTGATTTCTGTTTTTGATGCAAACTTTTTTCTATTTCATGTTTTTAATTTAGTTTGCATGTAGTGATCTCTGAACTTATTTGTATACATTTGCCCCATTTCTTAGCCATTGATGAGCCAGAATTTTCCCCACTGTAGGACAATAAAAGCTGCTTCTACAGACACACATATGCAAAATATATTTTGCAATGCTTCTTTCTGCCGATTTCCAACATTATAACAAAAGAAAACACTAAGATGTAAGATGGAGCTTGGCGGCTTTATATGTGAGAAGGAGGACTTTAAATTCTCTTCCAGATTTAACAGTACAATAGTCCATCCTTGAAGTAACAAATGCATGGACTAGTTTCTCTTAACTGTCACTTCTTTGGTTTAATTTATGAAGTTAAAAACATAATTTACAACCATCTACATAAAAGTGCAGATGATTATTTCTTCATCATATTTTTCCTGCTAACCTCACACTTTCATTTTAGTCCTTTTTTAATGAAATCTTTTGATTGAAGATTTCTGAGGCTAATCCTGATGATAGTTGTTTTGTTTCCTGCAGGTTCACAGACTAGTGGTGGTAGATGAGCATGAGGTAGTTAAGGGGATAGTCTCCCTGTCGGATATCCTCCAGGCGCTGGTGCTGCCTGATGGAGAAGAGGTGGAGTTGTTTTCACATAAAATACTACTTTGATCATTACAACATGTTTGGATTCATGTAAATAATCAATTAAGGTACTGATGTGGTTTCATTTGTCTTTTTTTTTCTTTTGACAGGCACAAACTTTAGGGAGTAGTTAGGAACATTTTGCTGCTTTACGAAAAGACCAGACGGAAAGTACAAGCATGTGGGAAGAGAAAGCATGTTGCCTTCTGCTGTAACACCCACATAGAAAGTCTTCACCATCTCTGGAAAAATGTGAAGTTGTCAGGTTTTCTCTATCCAGCAATTATATAATTGTAGAAGGTCAGGATTTATAGAGCCTGAGCCAAATTCAAAGTCACTATTAGGTGTGGGGAGATTTAAAATCCGAAGAAACCGGAGAAATCCAGCACATTTATCTTCTTTGCCCCTTTATTTTATGAAGTAAGATTTAATTTTTTAAAAACATTCCCCTATTTAACCAGCATTTCAATTTATTTTAAGGCTGAAATGAACAAAGGCACTAGACTCTTCTAAGAGTTAAATCGGATGCTGCAACTCGAGCTGATAATCAGACATTTTCTTAAAAGCTTTCAAGATAGCTATCCATTTATTCTCTTATCGTTCCTTTAATTTTCGTTGTTTGTTTAAATTCATGTTTAGTTTTGATGGACGTCATTGTAAACAGTATATCTGTGTGTCATCAGTTAGTGACTTTAACATTGAGTGATTATTTCCATTCATTTGCTCATGTCCTAAAAAAGGCAACTTTCAGCTACATCAGAAAGTCTAAATATTGTTCCCTCATTAAATACATAAAAAAAGATGTTGACTTTTTCTTTAAGTCTGTGTTTTTGAAGGCTGCAGAATGTTAGCACAAGCAGTTTGGGATTACAATCTCTCAGCGCAAAAAAGTTTCCAACAAAACCGATTAAGCCTCATTTATTCAGCTTCTTTTATTGGTGTTTGTTTTTATCCACATGTCCCAAAAACGCTACATACTTGTGTATTTTTCTTTTTTTTTTTGTCATGTGTTAGTACATATGTAATGGATCATTTGTTTGCAAATGGCACCTACATTGGTTGATGATATTGTAAAACTAATTTGGTCGCTACATCACAAATTTAAAATACTGTAGGCGTTCCTGCCTTCCTCTATTTAAGGGTCAATTCAGTTTATTTGGTAGTTGGAGCAATCAAAATGTAACAGATTTCTTCTTCTTTTTTATTATTTTAATCCATTGTGTTAAGAGAAAATAATCACTAAGAATCACTATTAAAAAACAACATTTTCATTCCATTTTCTTAGATGGAAATCTGAGGAACATTTAATGTCCTGATGAAGTGTGTAAACCTGCATGGAAATGCATTGTTTTTTGTACTAATCTGATATCCTTAATTTAAAAGATGTCAAATAAACTTATAAGTTTGTGTTTCTAATTTGCATGAATCACCAGCTCTCTATCCTAACACCCACTTATTTACTGATATTATTTCAGCTTATGGGTCACAAGTCTCATAAAAAAAGTTTAAAGGTATAGTAAGATATAAGTTTCTTATATCCTCCACTAGATCTAGTGGAGGATATTCTTTTTCCAGATGGACCTTAAAATGGTTGGTCCTCTGAATTGTCAATTATTCTGGTGTTATGTTTACATAAGGCCGTCCTGACATAGTGGAAAAATTGCTAATCTTTTGGAAATTAAGCTTGTATTAGCGATGCAAAAAGCAACTTTTAAACAGCGTGCACAAGGAGAAATTGACTCGTGCATGCTGTCGCATGCGTTTAATAAATTTTCCCTCTTGGGCGTGGGTACAGGGATGTACATGTGCATTTTTCTTTTTAAGTGGAGAGGGCGGATCTTTTCAAAAATGAACAAAAACCTCCACTATACCTTTAATCTTAGCAAACTAATATATTTTATGATGGTTTAGATTACAGATAATCAAAATTTATAGTGTAGAAAAATAGGAAGACATTAAAAAAGACGAGCCTCTTGGCCAGAGACCACTGAAGATCAGCACCAGCGACTCTAAAAAGGGTTAAGATGATGAATGCACGCTAACAGAAAATGCTAAAATTAAAGGAACAATCTTTATTTGGATAATACAACAATCAAACCCTTTTTACTTATTCCCTGTGGTATTGTGATGGTGTATCTTTGGTGATGAGTTCAAAGTCTTTAAAGCTGAATGCATCTTTTTCATCACCTTAATCTTTAGCACTCTCTGCATCCTCTCAGATTAATTCCAGAGTGATTCTAAAACATTAATATTAAACATTTGAGCTTTTAAGGAAGGCTTACAACCTAAATCTACTAGGAGTAGGAATATCTTTTGGCTTAAAAAGTGTTCCTGTGTATAAAAGAATAGGTTAAAGATTCTGCTTGAAACACCTTTTAGCTTGCAAACGTTCTCATGTTCCCTGGTGCGTTCCAACTTTAACCCTTGTGGCAGCAGCTAGAGATGATTCTGAGAAGTGTTTGTTTTTAATAACATGAGCTCAGCAGTAGTCCGGGGCCTCTCTCTCATTTAGCAGCATACGCACTCAGCAATACCCAGAGAGTATCAGGAACAGCAGGACACATTCCCCCATTTCTTGCAAATATCCACAGTGGTGACAAGGAAAATAAAACTGTTTTTTTTATTGAGAGTAAACTGTCCAATCAGTTTACAGATAAGCTGTAATTAATGGTTATAGCCCTTGCGGGTTCCGTGAGTCGGTCATCCTTCACCTTTGGAGCCCTCTACTGTGAAGAAACAAAAAGCATCTGAAGTCGCTATGATGTAAAGATTTGAAGGAAAGAAAACTGACTTAGCACTGTGTTCATTCAGCAGGTGGGACTATTGAGAAGCAGATACTAAACTGAATTATTAGGATCTGTCAATCTGAAAGGAGGCCATAAGACTATTAGATTATGACCTTTTAAGGTGTGAGTCATCCTGGAGGAAACCTTCCCAGCTTTGACTGGTCTACCAACATTTCTTCAAACCCAACAATGCACTTAGGAGATCACAATGGACCCGAACAGTCAAAACATTGGTGTTCAGAGTGTTTCCAAGGGGCCATTTATGGTCCTTGGAATTATTCTGTGTGGCCCAGACTCTCAAAATATTTTTAGCGGTAGATCTTAACTGACAAAACTTAAAATTGTATAAGACAAATGTTTTTTTTTTATTATTTAATAAAATTTTGATGTCCCTTTAATAGTAAATATTAGTAAAAATATTATTACTCTTACTAAAAAGCAGGCTACAGCTAATGCATTTGCTAAAATTTGACAGATACACAAAGAAAGGATGAGCCATATAAAGTTATAATTGCCAAGCCACAAGAAATTTTCTTGACTAAAGTAGAAAACAATTCCAAAGTTTGGAAAACTATTGAAAAAATGGATTTAAGCAAAACCCTTATTTATACAACCTGGATTTATATTATTTAGAACTGAAATATTTTCAGCAATCTGACTACTTTATCTGATTGTCTCACTAAAATGTTGCATGTCTAGTTAACGTTCACATTCTTTATATGAAAAATGCTTGGGTAGCTCTTGAATAAATGTAACCTGAAAGTTGAGGCTCATTTAAGATCCTATCTAATGCACTACAGGCATCATTTGTAGAGGTATTTTGGGTGTCACCATAATTCAACAGTGAAAACAGTCGGTAACAAATATATCCCCGGTAGAGCTTCAAGGTTGAAGCCACACTGGACAAGAAGAGCAAAAAGGTCTCATTTGACAAAAGTGGAACTATTGTGGTAGCTTTACATAGCTGCATTTCAGAAAATGGCATCATACTTGTACCTAACCATTGAAGTCTGATAGTACAGGCCCCTTTCAGTACATCCATGGCTGGTTTGATCGGTAGAACCTACTTTCTAACAAAAAATCCTTACTTTAAAGTCAAACATACTTGGATTATGCAGCAACAATTATTTCAAACACCAGCAAGACTTTTTAGACTTTGAGTAGGCCAATGGGAGATCAATCGCCCATGTTGCTGAGCTATAACAAATCTGCAAAGAAGAGTGGGTTTTGTTATTAATCCAACCATTTCTTAGGTGCTTGAAGGTGCTTGTTACCATCAAAGGGTTCACATCCTTATGTTTAAGGGTATTTACTTCTTCACAGGTGATCAAGTTAGCTTTTCACTCTTAATTTACTGATTTTCTTTTAGTTATGTAAGCTGTTATGATTAATACATCTGAATTGATCCATTCAAGGTTCAGAGGTTAGCACTGAAACAGTATCCGGTAAAGTTACTGATAATATTTTTGCATCATAAGATGAGTGATTCACAACACTTGATGTCGTATCAGATCATAAATCTTCATTTAATATATTTATGTTAATTCCTACAAAAGATGTGTTATAGGAATGCTGACCTATATTTTTGTCATATTTGAAAGAGAGGCTCTTTTCAGAAACACATAATGCTAAATTAATGTCTAATTATGATATGGACTGACACAGAATCCATTTTTTTAGCAGTTACATTTTAGCTATTGTATAAAATGTTGATCAGCTTTTATCTTCTCTCATATTCAGGCAGGCACAAGTTTTTATAAGCTAAATCTTTGGTGCCCATGAGTTCAAGTGGCACTTTGGCGCTCTGAATATTTTTTTGTTTTGTTTCGCTCTTTTTTTAGTGTCCCCATGAAAGAAACACTGTCCCAATCTTTGGCATCAATGGTATATTTAGTCTGGAAATGCCACTTACACTGTGTATATCTATAGAGTTAAATGGGATTTTTGTTGTCTTGTTTTACTCTGCTTTAGCAGCACCTCAAACAGTGGTTATCTTAGAGCCACCTCCACAGGAAACACACTTGTAAACCAAATACATGACAATGCAGGAAACCACACATTTCTCTATCTATCCAGAAAACTCTGTAGTCTGCCTTTAGTCACATTTGGCTGCAGAAAATGTTGATATAGAGTAGAAGTAATGACCAAATGACATTAGGCTGCCTAAGTCCTATGTCAGAAAACCGAGCACAATCATCACCTATCTGCATCACTGTGTTTAGAAGTTTATAAACATTTAATATATTATTCTTGATATCATGATTCATAACTTTTAAAATTGATATTTATAAAATTCTGTTAATCAAGAAAGTGGTAAATTCTCAATAAGATGTTTGTTACTTGCAGTCATATAAACCATTGGTTCAAGAGTCTTTTATTTCCTGGTACACAATCATCTATGAATTCTAGACATATATGCAATATATAGGCAACAACGTAGAGCTTAAGATACTAATGCATATAATACCAACTTTTGCAATTCTACTTTACACTCTAAGCAAGTTGGATGCATGCACTTAAATATGTAATAACAGTTTAAGTCTTGAAGACCAGTTGTTGGCAATATCAGAAAACTGCATTAGATTAATCTGTACCCTCAGTATCATCCCCTCACATTCACGCAGGCTGCAAATTAATAAATCGGCAGCTGTTTGGATAAATCTACCATCAAGAGTAATTGCAGATTTTTTTAAACTTTTCTACATTTTGTCATGTTATAACTTTAAATCACGCTACTTACCGTGGTTTTATGTGATAGAATCGCAAAGTAGCAAATGCTACACAAAAGAAATATATTTTTTGTTTGTTTGTCTGTTTGAGGAACACAGATCTGAAAAGTGCTTTTTTTTTAGACTGGCTTTATTCCTGACAATGCTTCATAACCAACCTTCTCTCTAAAGGTACATTTTTTTTGGGCTTTACACATGAGATAATATTTTGCATGCATATTCTTTAATCATCCCAGCATGGCTCTGTTTGTATGTTTATCTATCAACTCTGACCATATTCTGTTTCCCTGCCAAAGGCAAGCATTTCCCTAGCAAGATTCTGCAGCCACCATCTTTCACTCTATGGATGGTGTGATCAGGAAGATGCACTTGGTTGGTTTATTGTCACATAGTTATAACTCTCCTTTCAACATCTCCACAAACTTCTCCCTAAACTGTTTGCTGTGGCCATGATTTTAAAGCTTCTTTTTACTTACTGTTGTTCTTAAACAAACTTCTGAGGTCATTGTGAACCAGCTGCATTTATAGAGTTAGTACCTTTACAACATAATGACTTTTTAAAAAGTCATGGCTTCTAAAGACAATTTGCTGCACAGGATTTTATTTAAGGATATCAAATTAAAGGAAGCTAAATACAAAACTCTAATCCTTTTTGACTGATCCTGCAAGATGTTATGTTGTATCTGTGTTGCTTATGTATGGAGGTAGTTTTCTGCAATCTCAAACTGCATCCTGCTATAGATAAAGTATGAAATATTATTTTTTTTTTAGGTTTGTAGTTTTAACAAAAAAATGGATGCATGTATACTTTTGCACAGCACTGTACCGAAAAAGGAAGGAAGTCCTTACATGTATTATACAGCAAAAAAAAATAATAATAATTTGCACTGATCCAACTCTGATATTAAAACCATGTATTAAAAAATACTGATATTTATTCGTTTTGCGCCGATTACATTTTTTGGCCCCGATACCTGGCTGTGGAGTATTGGCTGTCACAGATACCATACTGAGACCATCTGTTTGAAATTGATGTGTGTGTGTGTGTATATATGAAGAACTGCATACTACTTGGATGTAAAATAATTGCCATCATGGCTTTGTCAAGCTGCTGCCTACCTTTGTGAAACAGGAAAAAGACTAAAACAAAGTGAATCCAGTAGAACTTTTTATTGACTACCTTGAATGGGTGACAGTACTTGAATAAACTTTTGGCTCTCAAAATGGTATCAGTGCCCTATTTGTCGGTACTCACTGATACTTATACCACCATGTTAGTGCTGGATTGGTGCCAGATACTGTATATATTACATAGTGGGTTCTTTGTTTTAATGATTTTGTGATGAGATAGGCACTGAACCTGATAGAAAATGGGTGATTATGAGTCTTATGTGTCTAAACTGTTTTTGTCTATATCATAAAAGGTTAGTTATTGCTTGATTATTTACAAAATACTCACAAAAAAATAGTATTTTTTTTTTATAAACAATAGTGAACAGCTTCATGCATATAATGTATGTTAGTGAATTTTTATAAGTTACTGTAAAACCTTGCCAAAAGATTTTTAACACCTACACGGAAAGCTTCCTGGACCTCAGTGTTTAGAGACAAGCTGTTCTATGGGTAGGACAGGCATGAACCTGAATGGCTACAAACTCCAAGGCACACACTTAGGAGCTTTGTTGTTGAAACATGTTGATTAAACAATTAGAAGTTTTGAGGAAAATGTTCCTGAAAGTAGGATTATTAATTCTTTGTCTTTCTGCTGCCTTTTTCCTTTTTATTTGCTTTTTCTTCCTTTTCTTTCTCTGCATTTTTCTTCTCTTTCTTTCTCTCTTCCTTCTGCTCCTTGTATTTCCACTTAGGTGGCTCCAGGTAGCCCTTGTCTTTCTTCTTCTTTTTCTTTTCTTTCTTCGGTGTTTGGTCTGAAGGCCTGTTCACACTGATCTGAGGAATACACCCAGAGGGGAAGACGCTGTTCCGCCTCGCCATGCTTCGAGGAATGAATGCTGTGACCACCTTGTTGGAGGCCACAGAGAGGATGCTGCCTCTCCGCTCGGTGTCAGGGCAGCACATCGAAGCCACTGTCTCTGCAGAGTGGATTGAGGGCATGATGTGAGAGACTGAGCCGTTGCTATGGCACACTGAGCTCTCTTCCAGCTCCCTCTGTGGATGTTTCTGTACTAGCTCTGGCACTGCGAGCCGTCTCTTCCCCACCTCTGGTGGGCTTGTGGGGCACAGTGGATGGCAGGCCGTTGCAATGAGAGGAGAGCGGAAGCTGGTGGTCATGCGCACCATGTGATCCATGACCCCGTTGTCCTGGGGGTCACGCGGAAACCTGAATCCAAATGTGTTTTTGATCCGTAGTGTGATCTTTCCTGCTGAACTCTTCTCTGATGTTGCTTTGGCCACCCTCTCTTTGAGCTCGGGCCATTCTGGGACGTAGCTGTCACAGAACTGCTCAGCTTTTGGGCGCATCGTGAGGCGACGAAGACGATGAAAGGTCTCATAGCGACCTGTTTTCAGAGCCCAGTCCCGAGGACACTTTCCCCGGAAAGAGTCTACTGCATTTATATCTGCCCCTGGAAGAAAAAAAAAGACAAGGGGAGGAGTAAAAACTTTATCAAAATGTGGAGGACACTTTTCTTGCCAAGGTTCATTTACCTTTTTTTGGCTAGGAGTCCAAAAACACTTTTAGGTTAGAATGTGATTCTATTTATTCACAGAGCAATTCAAAGTCAAAGGTTTATACTTCTTTTTCACATCTTATCACATTACAAAGACAAACTTTATCCCACTGTACTATGTTTTCTGTGTAATAACATGGTTATTATTGGCTACTGGCTTTCCAAACTTTTATAAAAATGAAATCATGGAACCCCTTTTGGGATTTACTCAATCATATTTAGTAATTTTAACACAACTTTTTGTTGTTAGCATGGTAGGACCTAAAAACATTGTGTTAAGTAGATGCCAAAAAACAGTTGCATAATTTTTCCTTTGCAGGGCAACACAGAGATTCAGCTGACAGCCTTGGCTGGGGCCAGGACAAAATCTAAAGAACTGATGAGTGGGCGCCCATCCATACTTTGTATGTAGTGTGTATCGAGATATATATATATATATATATATATATATATATATATATATATATATATATATATATATATATATATATATATATATATATATATATATATATAGATAGATAGATAGATAGATAGATAGATCGAGATATATAGATATATATTCTCTAAATTCTATATAGGCGTGACTGTGTATGAAAAGTTGTTTGTCCTGTTTGTCTTTGTGTTGCCCTGCGATAGACTGGCGACCTGTCCAACGTGTACCCCGCCTCTCGCCCATTGACAGCTCTACCCGTCGTGACCCCAGCTAGGATAAAGTGACAGAAAATCGATGATTGAATGTCAGAAAACTAATAAGGTCTTGTTCTGTCCTCCATTAAAACTCCTGATTTGAATTTTTTACTTTTTTAGACCTTCCACAAACTGTCCTATAAAGGATTAAGGCTTAGCAAGAGTACTTAAGGCTTCAGGATGTGATTTCACCATCAAGTATTGCATAGATTCATTTCACTTAGCATAACCAGCCTTCCATATGAAATGTAGTTTCCAGTTAGACACAACAGTGAGTTTCAAAAACACATTAGCTAAAAATAGGCAAGTGACTAATCTACTGCTCAGGAGGACTGCCAGGTCAAGAGATTACTGTAGACATGTGAAAATACTCTCAGAGTGATCCCTTAAAGCAACAACACGTCACTGAGTCATTAAATCGGGGGCAGGCAGCTTTAAATGCGCCCTGAAGAAAACAGGGGTCTGTTGCTGTCATCAGCCATGCTGTGTCTGCTGCTGACGAATTAATACCATTGGCTCAAATAGGATGCTAAGTGCTTTCTGAAAGATCTTTGATTGTTTTTTAATCAGTTCCTACACCGCACAGAAAACCGATCCATTCTCCTGCTATATAGCAGAGTTTAAGACCATCTAAATTATCCTTCTAATGCCGTCCACGATGTTATTTGATCTATTATTTCAATATTTCTCTTGACTTTTCTGAGTCTTTTTGAGTTATGATCATAAAGAAATAAAAAAGTGCATCTGTTGATTAGTGGAAGAAGAACCTTTTGGCATAAAAAACAGTTTACAGCAGGTAAACATTGCCTTCTCATATAAAAACTATCCTCTGATAACTGAAAAAGTGACTGCGGAAAGAAACAAAGCAATGAGGGTTGATGAAAAAACTTTAAAAAACGCCATTTAAAGACTTTGAGAGAGCTTCAAGAAGTGGTGCTGAGGATGGGTTTTAGATTATGAGAAATGCTCATCTACTGGAAGCAAAACAAAATGATTTAGGATGACACAAAATCATTGGCGCATTGCAATACATTAAACAGCTCATCCCTGAAGAAGAAAAACTACGCCTTCCTTTTTCTCTCACATACCAGCCATAACAAGAGCAGCTACGACGTCACAGCGGCCAGTCATAGCAGCTTTGATGAGGGCTGTGAACCCTCTGCAGTCCCTCATCTCTGTGTCTACACCAGGGTAGTAGTTCAGGAGATACATCACCGTTAATACATGACCTGCAGGAGAAAGAACAATCTCAGAGACCAAATGATCACCTTCATTCCCGGCTTAATAAATATGTCCACAACACATTAACTTGACATCATTCATTGAGTATAGGTCTTGCATTTCGTTTCACTCACCTCCCTGAGATGCAATCATTAGTGCAGTGTTGCCTTCATTGTCCTGGAGGTTTACGTCTATAAAGGGACAGTCATGGAGCTTGTGCACAATATCAAGAAAACCCTTACAGCAAGCCACCATCAGGCCATTCTGTTGGTAGAAATCAGAGATATGCATCATTACCTACAAAGTCTTAAAAGCTAAAGAATAACTCCCATGATAAACCCCTTTCTCACCCATCCATTGATGTCCTGCTCCATCACCTCCTCTTTTGTCACCCCTCTCTCCAGAACTCTCTTTAGAGCGGCAGAGTCATTGCGGGCACATGCCTCATACACCGTGTTGGCTGTACTGCTGGTTTCTTCCTCCTTCGTGTAGTCAGGGAGCACAGAGTCATCAGAGAGGATACTGTCAGATTCCGAGTCCTGTCCTGATGTGTCGTCATCATCTGGACCTGAGCCCAGATGGGGGTCCTCTGCTGCAGTGGCCATCCTCCAACAGAACCACTGGAATGGGACTCAGTCCAACTTGTTTGGTCACATCTATTAAGATTAGACAGAGAAGTAAAAAAAAACAAAAAAAAAACATGTCAAAGATGTTGAGAGCTGCAAGACCTGGTGCCTGGTACCAGAACATTAGTGAACAAACAGCATCAGGAAGACCAGAAACTCAGCAGGCATGCAGAGGTCTAAGCTGGAGGGATTTTGGAAGTGAGATTCAGACAGCAATTCCATAAATCTGTCCTTAATAGAAAAAGGAAACCAGAAATAATTTTTGGAAGGAAACTCATGAATGAAGCGGATGCGGTGGAAAGTGGTTTGCTTTGATGACACCAAAGTATTTTGCCCCAAATGTAAAAAGTTAACACCACACATCGCTCTGAGCACAACATTCCCACTATAATGCATAGAGGTGGCAATATTATGCTGTGTTTCATTTTTCAAAGAATAAAGGGAAGGTGGTAAGAGTTGATCGGATTGAGAGATATGGGATAATCCTGGAAAAACATGCTAGCGACTGCAACAGAGTTGAGACCGGAAGATATTTTACCTTCTAGCGGTAAATCAACTCAGCAAACAGCAAGAGCTGTAGTGAAATCTTTTAAATTAAAAGGCCTAGTCATTGTCAAGACCAAAACCCAACTGAGAATCGGTGAAAAAAAAAAAGAAAGCAAGACAAAGAGTTCCCTTTTTGACAGGTTGGAAAAGAACTAAAAGAGTCAAGGATTATGATTCTTATGTCGCTGTGTGTCACAGGTGTAACACCATCAGATCAGTGTGCCTTTACTGGGGGGGTAAGTGGATCAGCGTTAAATACGCTGCAGAACTCAGGAGGGTTAAATGAGGAAACACTCATGGCAGAAAAAAGCCGTTCACGTGTGGAACCAGCATTCTAATCTTCTACCTCTGTTACTGATGTCTGAAACCATCAAATTATTAAACCAACTACCTTTTTACATCTTCCTCCTCACCGCCATCAGACAGCTGAACTGTTGAGAAAAACTCTTAATCATGTTGCTGACTCTGCATCACACTGATGACACAAAACCAAAATATAATCCTATGAACTTTCATATAAATGTGTTATTTTGCACCACGTTTTTTTCTCCCACGGTGTTTACATTTTGATCACTGCAGCACTTTAAGAAATGGCAATGTCATGAATGCTGTACAAAACAAATAAAATAAAAGACAAGTAAGTGTAAGTCTAAGTCTGTCTAAGTCTATAAATCACGCACAACAAATGTGATGATAGAAGAAGTTATTTGCCTTAATTTAATATAAGCAAATGGAATTCATATTTGTTTTATTTCTGTAATAAACCTCTGCTGAAAGATGATTTGAAGATTAAGTTGTGTTTTAATCCTACATGTTTCCAAAAGCTTATTAAAAGGAAATAAAAACCCTGTTTCATTGTCAACCAGAGCCTTGTTTTAAAATAGCAAATTAATGTGAAGATAAATTTAGTAAACTCACCAATAAACACAGGGCCACACCATTATTATTCCTTGTAAATATTGTCGGATTTCTCCTGGTGTCTTTCCCGAGCAGCTGTCAGAGTTTCCTCCAGTTCTTGCCATTAGATCAACGTTACCCATTCCCAAGCCGTCATAGGAAACTGGGAGGAGAACTTTGTCACACAGTCCTCATGGAGACACTGTTCACTTATCTGCTGTGCTCGGTACATCCCTTTTAAAACAGCTTTCAGTAGAGGGGATTACTTACCTCTCAAACCAATTTCACCGTTCTTTCCCTTATTGCTTCCAAGCTATAAACTCTCTTCAGTTCCTTGCCTGTTGTTTGCATTTGTCTATTTTTGTTACTTTATCTATTGGATTTATTTAAATTCTCATTGGCCTGTAAAATAGTGACAAAATATATGATATAGTTAGAAATTAAATTACTGGAAAGATAAAAGAACCTTACAGCAACACGTTGGCTTGATTTATTTTCTAAAACAAAATTAATAAACTCTTTATTTCCCCATATTTATTTTGAAAGTAAATTTAAAATAAAGCATTCTTTTTATTTTATTTTTTATCCTGCAATCAGGTAATCAACCAAAATGTAATATAATAATGAAATAAGTGTAGGCCGCTTATGAAGTGAAATTTAATTATTTACTAAGACACTAATATCCCATCAGGTGTCACCAACATGCTTTGAACTGATCCAGGAAGTAAAGTCACTGGGAAGCAACTCTAGTCTCAAGTTCAGAGCCTCGTTGCCAGAATGATGCTGGGTCTCTCAAGCGTTTTAGGTCCTCCAGTATGATCACAACTATGTGCAGATGGATTTTTTCATGTTATTCATAAAGATCCAGAAAGAGCACAGTGTGAAAAGCTTTAGCCTATTTAATTCTGAAACAGCTTTGTGACGCAAGTACTGGAGGACAGCCCCAGAGCTTAAACACATATGGTTCAGCACCTTGGTAAAGTATTCTTAACCCATAATCTTTTCCACATTCATCTATCCACAAATCTCAGTGTTTTGCACACTGGTTTTATGTGAAAAAAACAACTTAAATATTATACAATTGTTTATGGAAAAAAGGGAATGATTTCGAACTTTTATGACAAACTGGAAAATGTGGCATTCAACTGACTTCAGAAGTCATATAAGTATAAAAGAAAAAGAAGTAGAGAAATCTACAGCTCAGGGTGGAGTTCATAGACTGTTTACAGAATAACTGCTTGTCATTAACTCCATCAAAGATAAACCATAAATATTTACCTCTATCTACAAAATGCAGTTTGCATATTGCAAGATTTGTAAACAAACAACAGACATTGCAAAAAAAGGCTGCTCTAATAACTTTTCCATAAACTGTAAAAAACAAAGTATCACCTTTATAAGGTTTGAATTTGATCTTGCAACATATCCATTGTGTTTAATAAATGAATAGCACAAAGTAACTTCCAATTTTTGTTCAGTAATATTATTGTTATTTTTATTTATTTATTTATTTTTTTTTACTAATTTTCAAATTTAATACATTCTCCATAAATAACATTCCATTAATCACAGTGGTTTTCATTCCATGTTTTGCAAAACGAGGATTTGATTTTTTTCATGGTTCTTAAACTAAAAACATAAAATAATTAAAAACAGTTTTTGTAAACTTGAAAAGCTATTCTCATTTTTTTTGTAAGTTATTGGGTAAGCTTAAGCGTTGTTTAAGAAAGTCAGGCATAAATCTGCTTGAGAATCTGGGTTAAGGCTTGAAAAATGTATTTTTACAGATAATTTCCATTCAAACTAATAAAACTTGAACTATTTAAACCAGTCTCTAGATGTATGATGCTGACTTACTCCAAACTGACAAAGTATTAATTTAAATTTTATAAAAAAAAAGAAAATTAGAAACCACTCCTCCTATGCTTTCTCTTTACAGTTAAACTCTGTATTGATCACTTCCACAAAACATACTAAAAGTACGAAAGCAAAATATACAGAGATGTGAATAGTTTAGCAAGGAACTACATGTTTGAACCCTGTTTGTTTTTCTGGAAACCGAACAAAGGATCTGTGGGATGAGACCAGACCTGCCTGGTTTGATTGACTACTAATCATCCCCACCAGCCTAAGGAGAGAGGAGTGCATGGCTTTTTGTCCTTTTGGAACCAAAGGAAAAAGAAAGATTTGCAAGAGAGAACAAGTTGTTTTCTTTGACCTATTTTCTAGATCTAAAGTTTGATGATGCTGAAGTTTTTCTAAAAATCTTTTTAATGGAAAGACAACAACAACTAACTGGCAAGAAGCAGACTCAAGATGAAAAATCAAAGTGAAGATTTTGGCAAAAACGCAAAGGAAGACTGAGAGACCTGATAGATAAAGTAAGTCTTCGGTCTTCTGCACCACATTTTTCGGGTGGAAAAGTAAAACTAATGTTGTAGCTGCTCTCCGTTATTAGTAGGCCTGGACAAATACAACACTGGATGAGGCAGATGTTTTATAAATATACCAGAAAGTAAGAAAGTCTCAAACATTTAGGTTTTCAGTTTCTTTGTTAGATCACTTTAAAAGCATTTATTGAGAAGTATATTCAACTATTTCATGTTACTGTTTTTTTTTTAAATCTGTTTCAATTTTTTACTCATCTAATAACTAATGTATTTTAACTTATACAGAATTAGATTTTACAGGTAAACTAATAAACTATGATTTAATGAAAATAGATATTTGTTTGTTTTATTTTTGACGGTACACAAAGATCCAAAACAGTTTTCAAAAGAATTTATCAAAATTGGAGGAAAATTAGAACTTGCTTTTTTTTCTTACACTTTAAGATCTGAGCCATCTCCAAAAAAAGAAAAAAAAAGAAAACAAAACTAAATGCAATGTTTAAATGCTATCAATTGTAATAGCCTGAGGTGTATATGTTGTGTAGTTTTAGGTTCATTTGATCTTTGCCCCTGAGAGAAATTCCACAGATGAGATAAGAGACAACATTATTTGGCAAATAAGCAAGAAGAACAGTGAAGAGAGGTGAAAAAGTGATAAAGACATACAATCACTTCTCTTTTAAGCCTTACACCTTTAGTACTTTATGCCATGTTGCAATCTTTGTAACTTATTTTCAACCTTCTGACTTCCTTGCTTGATTTTTTGCTGTTTGGACAGAATTCGAGGGACCAGCAGGGTGTGCCGTCAGATGAGGACTATAAGGAGGTCCAATATGGCTGCAGGATATGCAGGTACAACTGAAAGGTACAGGGCCTTGCAAATTTTATTGGGATTAAACAAAAGGTTACAGAAAATTGTAAATGCAGAAAGAAAATTATATTAGTTTACAAATGAAAATATCAAAGTCATTGAATCCATGGATTGGGGAGCCACTCTTTGTTGAATTTACAGGTGAATTGATTATCAAGTGAGTTGATTCCAGTCTCTGTGTTTTTTTTTTTTTTATCTAAAACTTTTATTTTGCCTATGCTAAGAAAAATGCGATTCAAACAGAAGGATAATATCATCTAACAAGATAAACATCTTTGCCCAGCAGTTAGAGTAGGCCTGTCCATCTTTCCATCAGCTGTTAGCAGCTTCGCCGCAACATGATGCAGCCATCGTCATTTGTCACTCTGTTGTATTTGGGGTTGTATGCAGTGGTAAAGTTCCTACAAACATGTTAAACTTGGATTTCAGCTAAGTTAAACACCTCCATCCAAACATGTACTGTGTCAAATACATGACCCATGGAGAGTGAACACTGGGACTTCTTAGCTAGTTACTTTATTTATTTTTTTGCTCTTTACACTCCTGCATAAAGAACAGTTTGTTGGAGAGAACAACTAACTGTTGCCCCCCCATCATATTCTCCCACCTGAGCTATAGATCTTTGCAGCTACCCTCAAGTTACAATGGGTCATTTGGCTGTAGTTTTAGATGTAGTTTTTGGGACATCGTTTTTCCATTTCAGACAATAAATGGAGCACATCTCTGTGATATGTCCAGCTAAAGAATCTTAAGCTGTCTGCTGTGTTTATGTGGTTTATATATGAATTGATTCCACTGGATTTTATTCAGGGTTAGCCAAGTTCAGTGGGCTAAGTAAATGCATGACATACTTTCAAGAGATTGGGAAAAAATAAAAGCTTGATTTAACATTAAAAGCTTTTGGTCTATCACATAAAATATAAATAATGTAAACAAATAGATATTGTTAATAGTGAACATTTTAAGGGTTTTGAATAGTTTTTCTATAGTCTGCATAATTGTTATAATTCGAAGAAAAAAAAGGCTAAGAAGATTTCATGTTATGTTGAGGTATTCAGCTGATATCCTTGTTAAAACAGGCTGATTGTTTTGTCATTATATCCCTGTTCAATTAACATATTTGTCATACTTTTGAAGTCAACTGACTAATTTCTGCTGCCTGCACCCTTCTGGACCCCCTTGAAGGGGAGCTGTGCTCATGTCTGTCTTTTTTGCTGATGAGGGCTCTGCCCTAAAAACACCGGGTGACCAGAGGCAACAATCTCATATTACACAGTACTGATGATTAATTACAGACTTATAAAACTTGTGTTTGCTCACATTAATAGGCATGCAGCTGCAGTAATCCTGCATAGTGGGGAGAATTCTGTGTACCAAACAGATATGGATCATAATGTCAGCACAGTTTGTTGAAAGATAATCTGATGTTTGCATGTGGCTGTTGTCAGTTATTTTCAGTCGGTTTGCACACAGAACCATGTGTTTATATATGCAGACAGAAGCATAAGCTTTTTCTTTGGTCTTTAGAGACTTCTTCCATGTTTAGGTTTTTTTTTTGTTTTTGCACAAACGTGTTTTAATCTCCTGTTTCTGGCGAGTTTAAACAGCTGTGCTCAGATCATCAATGCTTAATTTTGGTTTTCTGCTTCGGTCCTGTCTGCTCTGAGTTATCTATAACGGTGGTTACAATATTTTGGTTTTCTACTTGAGCAGTGACAGTTGCTGTTGTAAGCGTTATGACGCGCCACCCAGGCATGATCTGTTTGTGCGATATGATCTGTGGCAGAGCTAGATTTCTGTTGGTTGCTGACTAGTCCAGGCATTCCTTAGTGTAAGCACTGTAGCTGAATAGTTGAATACTAGCTGTGTTTCCATAACCATCAAATAGGGCAAATTGTAATTATGCAGAATAAATTAGCTAAATGGAAATACTTTAATAAAAAAAAAAAAAAGTTTCGATTAATGT